ACGCGGCAGCAACGAAGTTTGGAAGTTCATGTCAGTATAACTCATCCCCTGATGAAGGGAGGACCCCTCCCGTTGTGCCATATCCCATATATATATATATATATATATATATATATATATATATATATATATATATATATATATATATATATATATATATATAATATATATATATATATATATGTGTGTGTGTGTGTGTGTTTGCTATGGCGATAAAAGGAGGGGTAGACGTCGTAGCAGCAGTTAGTGGGGGGAGGGGGCATGCCCCCCGGTTTCTAACTTGTGGGAACGACGGCCCCCGCTGCATCCCCCCCCCCCCCCCGGTTTTGGAACCCTTGTTTAGGGATACTTAGCTTCGCATTCTCATTTTACTGGAAGGCGTTCCGTGAACAAAAATTGCTCTTTTCTTTCCTGAGAGCTGTTGCTTGCTGTGCATCATAGCCATAAGACGCACGTCCACACAGAAGCGCGCGGCAGTAATTGAATTACCGTCTGTTTAGTGTCAGGCAGTCTGAGTTCCGGTTTCGGAGAGCTCCGAGAAAAACCAGCGGCCAGCAGAGCCGTATGTGAAAAGAGTACGGCGAATGGGTGGGGCAGTGACGTATGGCAATGATGCCGGCCACGTCACAACCACTCCTCCACTTTGGCGCCGTCCGCCATATTTACGCTACCTGCGTAAATATGGCGCAGGTAGGGTGAACGCTGGTTGTGAGCGACAAACCAGCGTTCAGTGAGCGAAAGTTCGAGATATATTCAATAAGGACCGGAGCCGGAGGGCATTGCACTTTGACCTTCCTTGCGGCGCCGTGTAGTTCTCACCGACATTAACCGAATGGCGAAGGCAAGTGGGCATTTGGAGGGCGATATAGTAAGCGCGTGCAAACGTGAGTCTGTGTGCACGCACGCACGCGTCTCCATGCGTGCGTGAGCGCGCATTTGCGCGTGTATGTGTACGTGTGTCAGTGTGAGCATGCAGACACGCAAGCACAAACACACGGTACTTGCACGCACACAAACACCCGTATACATACACACATTCTCGCGCACACGCGCAGATACGTGCGCGCACACAAGCGAACATTGCGAATCCAAAAATCTCTATAAATTCACGCAACCAGTGTATGCGTAAACAGCCAGGATGAATACAGAAGCCTAGCGCACGCTACTTCGAGGTTTCATAGTTGCTGCCCGTAGACATACGCCCTTGGAGAGAACTTGTCGATTCTTTCATCTCGCCGCTCTCCGCCCCCACGCGGCTCTCTTTCCGTGACGTCAGCACTCTCTTCTTGCCGGCGGCGGTAGCGCGCAGTGGCGGCCAGTCACCATCACCTCGAAGCAGCGTTGTGGGCCTGTGTATTCATCCCGTATTCAAGCCAAGAGCGTGGCCAGGAGGTGCCTCCCCCCCCCCCCCCGGTTTTGGAACCCTTGTTTAGGGATACTTAGCTTCGCATTCTCATTTTACTGGAAGGCGTTCCGTGAACAAAAATTGCTCTTTTCTTTCCTGAGAGCTGTTGCTTGCTGTGCATCATAGCCATAAGACGCACGTCCTCACAGAAGCGCGCGGCAGTAATTGAATTACCGTCTGTTTAGTGTCAGGCAGTCTGAGTTCCGGTTTCGGAGAGCTCCGAGAAAAACCAGCGGCCAGCAGAGCCGTATGTGAAAAGAGTACGGCGAATGGGTGGGGCAGTGACGTATGGCAATGATGCGGCCACGTCACAACCACTCCTCCACTTTGGCGCCGTCCGCCATATTTACGCTACCTGCTTAAATATGGCGCAGGTAGGGTGAACGTGGTTGTGAGCGACAAAACCAGCGTTCAGTGAGCGAAAAGTTCGAGATATATTCAATAAGGACCGGCAGCCGGAGGGCATTGCACTTTGACCTTCCTTGCGGCGCCGTGTAGTTCTCACCGACATTAACCGAATGGCGAAGGCAAGTGGGCATTTGGAGGGCGATATAGTAAGCGCGTGCAAACGTGAGTCTGTGTGCACGCACGCACGCGTCTCCATGCGTGCGTGAGCGCGCATTTGCGCGTGTATGTGTAGCGTGTGTCAGTGTGAGCATGCAGACACGCAAGCACAAACACACGGTACTTGCACGCACACAAACACCCGTATACATACACACATTCTCGCGAACACGCGCAGATACGTGCGCGCCACAAGCGAACATTGCGAATCCAAAATATCTATAAATTCACGCAACCAGTGTATGCGTAAACAGCCAGGATGAATACAGAAGCCTAGCGCCACGCTACTTCGAGGTTTCATAGTTGCTGCCCGTAGACATACCCCTTGGAGAGAACTTGTCGATTCTTTCATCTCGCCGCTCTCCGCCCCCACGCGGCTCTCTTTCCGTGACGTCAGCCTCTCTTCTTGCCGGCGGCCGGTAGCGCGCAGTGGCGCCAGTCACCAATCACCTCGAAGCAGCGTTGTGGGCCTGTGTATTCATCCCGTATTCAAGCCAAGAGCGTGGCCAGGAGGTGCGTCTGTTTAGTGTCAGGCAGTCTGAGTTCCGGTTTCGGAGAGCTTCGAGAAAAACCAGCGGCCAGCAGAGCCGTATGTGAAGAGAGTACGGCGAATGGGTGGGGCAGTGACGCATGGCAATTATACCGGCCACGTCACAGCCATTCCTCCGCTCTGGCGCCGTCCGCCATATTTACGCTACCTGCGTAAATATGGCGGAAAATTTAGAAGGCCAATAACATTAAAATAATAGCAAATACTGGCTCCTAATGCGGTGAACGCGGGCTCCTAGCCAACTACGTTCTAATCGGAACAGGTGGCCTCTGATGACGTGTTTAAAGGAGCTCACTTCACTGAACTTTTGCTGTTGGCAGTGGCGCCACCACCGGCATCTTTGGTTGTGAGCATGGAGGAAGGAAAAATTTTCCTTGCTCCATGGTTGTGAGCGACAAACCAGCGTTCAGTAAGCGAAAATTCGAGGTATATTCAATAAAGACCGGATCCGGCGGGCATTGCACTTCCCCCCCCCCCCTTTTCCAAAAAATTGTCTGGCTACACACCTGATTCATGCGAGACATTTTTTTTTACGTCAGTCTTTGTTCCCCTAATTTGTTTCGCTGATTAAAAAGTTTTCCTTTTTACCTTTCAAGTTGAGGCTTGTTCGATGGCATTGTGCGCCGTCGCTGACGATGATGCTGATAACAATGAAGAACAAGCGCTTTCCAGACCAAACATTCTCATCATGCCACCAAGGCAGAGCACATGCAAAGTAACGAATAACGAATACATGACAACGATGAAAATGATGGTGGTGATGATCACAGACAACAACCATCTTGTGCAGTACACGACGCCTCGATATGCTCTACGATGCATTTCGTAGAACTGGGAACAATCGACAACCACCAGAGAAACTTACCCAGACCTCGCCTTTGCCAACTTTAGGTTAGATCCAATACCACAAGGCAATATAATAATGAAGGCGAAACGAAATTCACAAATGAACACAACATACCATTAATGACCAATGAACATTGTTGTATATAACTGTACAAAGCCTTGGCACTCACTCACACGCATGAGTGGTCAATGTCACGGGTGAATTACGGCAACCCAAAACGATTGCTCTGCTTCGCCCACTCATCATCATTCCCTTCGAAACTTTTGAAAACTTTGCCGAGCCTATTATGCTTTTTTATTCTTGTCAAAAAAACCATACGTAGTCCGTGGTGTTACTGCTTTCCCGCACTTCCCCACAGTTATACAAAGCATCAGTATTAGGGTCGCTTACAAAGTATCACTACTAGGAAAAACAAGGGAAGCGTGGGCACAGAAGGAAGACGACGTTGCCTCCACTGTGATCCCCCTGAGTGGGTACGAGCCATGGCGGTGATCATCATCATTAGACTGTGATCGCGGACTCAGGGCCCATTAAAACCCCCATTAATTTACCTCGCCTTGTGTAACAATATTATTGAGAACTAACAGACAATAATATCCTTGTCACATGGCAAATCTAATGCCATTTACAACAAAATACAATAAGTGAACTTAATGCCATTTCGCCTGCGTGCTGTCACACAACGAAAACAAATGTCATTAACATGACGACCATAACATTACCACTCATGAGCCATGACTTTGGGAGAAACAAAGCTGTTAACTCGCATTTAACATAAACATAGCCACAAAATAAGTTCTTATCTAAAAATGTTCTCCCAGAATATAAATGCAGCCATTTTACACAACTTTCCACAGCTGCACAATACAAATGAAGTCAAGCCAAGAACAAGTCAAGGGGGCAAAACTTACCCGCCTTGCTGCAGAAATAAGATGGCGGCAGCAATTTCATGTTGTAATCACCAGTCACCACAACACAGGCAATCGGACAATCAACACCGGTGATACAGGCAGCAACAACAACACAGCACACATAAAACATTTGGCGTCTAGCCGCTGTAGTTTAAAAGCTTTCATTTAGAAACTTTCATGCGTGCTATTACATCATCAAATCACCAATAAGTTAATCTGGTGAAGAATACGATATATACAAATTCCTAAAGTTTCATATAATGCATGTACATAGGTTAACAGCCATCTTCCTGAATGGTATCTGGCATCTGAAATTGGTCTGAAATTGCATTTTGTTTGAAATTGAATGAGAATGTGTTTCATGAACTCATTCAACAGGGAATGTCATTTTCACTAATTGGCATTAGTTTGCCTGTGTGACAGCAAACATATGACATTACAAATCAACAATATTCCCTGTAAATGACTTTGGATTTGCTGTGACAGACAATATTTCCGTGGAAAGTATACAGAATGTTGTCATATAATTATGATATAAGTGTGAAGAAAGTAAAATAGACGAAACATAAACTGCTGCTAGCAGTCTGCCAGCCGCAAGTTATTAAAGAGCCCCCATCAACAGATGGCCCCTGGTAGTGGTTTTTATACTGAAAAGCCACACCTACATTACCACAGTGTTCATCAAGCAAGTCAGACATCCAGGTATTTCACAAACAGCCACCAAATGTGATTAGACATTTTATTAAATAACTTTGATGATGGGAACGATGCCAGCTAAAATAATGACGCCCTTCCCTTCTGTTCAGTGAAGTTGCACCCTGCTTTCCAGTTTTTTCTTCACTTCTTCCGACTGTAGTTGTTCAGCTGTGAGCAGAGACACCCCGAGTTGATCCTCCTGCGGCAATGGAGACGATGCTTGAGCACACTGCATAACAGTGGGCCTAGACAAGTATTACAGTGGGCTCAAGATGATTCAAACTCTGGTATGAACAATCGATAGCAATGTGAAAGGGAATGCACGAACACATAGTGAATAGCATCAAGCCCAACGCATGGCAATTCGTGGCAACCACTGTTGGGAACGAAGAAAAAAGGACGCCGCAGTCACAATCGGTTCGAGGGTAATTTTCTCGCCACGCGATACGAGATCGCATTTCCACTTCACCACTTCGGTAGCACTAGCTCAAAGCACGTGATCTAAACAACTGGCTGCAAATTCGACATGGTGGCGAGGGCGTCAGCGGTGCCTTGCGTCGGCGCAATGGCAAACTACCCATGCAGAACAACAAATCTCACGGCTTCAACAAGTATGCATTCATTGAGAGCCTGGTCTTTATCACGATCACCGAGAACACTGGAAGTAAAGAAGGTGCAGCAGCAGCAAGCCGGCATGCCCCGTATATCGCTGGCTAAATCCGTCGTCATCGCTGCCACAGGTGTGCTCGCTCACGTCGGTTCTTCTGGCGTATCTCCCAATTCAAAATTTCAGTGTCAGTGCTTTGCATGCATAACTAGAGCTCGGTAAGAATTTCAATGCTCAATAAACAAGCAAAATAGAATGAATTCTCATAGCAATGAAGGCCGCCGCGGCGTAGGTATGTAGGAGAGGCAGAAGGAATGTGAACGTTTTCGACGCGCGTGAACGTGGTTTTTCTGGTTGCTCTGGCGGACAACGATCTCCACTTCACTTTTAAAGGGCGAATGTGCCTACAATGTAGCGCGGTTTCGTGGCAGCTTAGGCAGCGAAGCTAGTGAATTTCTGCCGAGTTTTGCCACTTTCGCTTCCTTTGAGGCCAAGAGTGAATGCGCCAGATGAGGCAGCAGCATGAGTGAGAAAACCGCGGCACGGTTTTATTCTTTTTAGGCGCCTTTATCAAAAGAAAGTAAAAGCAGAAAAGTTCAAAAGAACATTGTTGACTTTTTCAGCAAGATAGTTAACCCCAATAATGATTTTGTTCATTTTCATGATCAGCTTTAACTTGTTTTAGTTCATATAAATTTGGGATTATACATATATTTTGCACGTTCCTTATGAATTTGTCTCTTAGAGATTTTACTGTACTTCACACTCGTGCTAAATTGCAACTAATTTAACATTTGGTTCACCTGCCATGTGTCCAATGGAATCGCTTGATTTTTAATCGATGCAAACTGCGACATTTGGTTAATTCTGTTAATTTGTAGAACTTCTTGCTTGAGCATACTTAAAATACTACCTGCCTTCCAGCTGAATATTTGCACTCATATATATCTTTTAAACAGTCAAAACAAAGCCGATTGCTTGCCCACATTGCAAATCAAGTGAAACATGAGCAGGAAAAATGGTCACGCGAGGCTCGTACCAACTTCGTCGGCTGTCACAGACACTGACCCCTAGTGTGAGCATCCAAATGTAATGCTAGAGGGATCTTTGCATTACGCTTGATTGGCTCAGGTAAAACAGTCTGTGACAATATAGAGAGTTTTATGCAGACAGCCATAAACCTTCTGCAGAAAATCATTTGAACGCATCAGCACACATAATCCGAATAGAGTAAAAGACACAAAGTACAAGAATAACTGACCCTTGTGAAAGGCTGTGCCATCTGTCTAAGGAAGCGCTTAACGACCTGCAATGCCTCCTCGGTGCTCAGGTTGCAGAGGGAGTCCTGCAGGTGCTCCTGTATCCACCGGGGCAGCTTGCTTACGCTTGTCCCATCTCGAGAAACGCTGCATCACCGTTGGCATTGCCGAAAAATCAGTCCCAGTAAAGCAAGAATTTGACTCTTAGTCAATGGTGTAATCAGCCACTATGGCCATCTCAAGATTGTGCGAAATGAATAAGGGCATCATCCCAAAGTGGGTGTGCACACAAGTAACTGAGTGAGTGCAATATGCGAATGAATGCAATATAAAAAAATTTAATGTTACACGACGAAAGTCTGCCAGCCAACTTCGTTGGACCCGATCTCACGTAACTCTAGAAAACACTGGTGTAAGAGAACATGGCTGGTCCAGGGCACTTTTCGCATGGTCTCTTTACCTTGAGAGTGCTGCACATAGAAGGGTATATGAGTAGTCTGCTGATGCTTGTCAGGATAGTACACATGCCAGCAATCGCATCCTTGTAACCATAGTTTATGGTTGCTATTCAAGCACCAGCAATCGCACCCTTATAACCAAAGTTCAAAGCAGCTGCTCGAGCACCAGCGATCGCGCCCTCATAATCTAAGTTCACAGAGCTGCTCATGCACCGGCGATCGCGCTGTTATAATCAAAGTTAACAGTTTCTATGCGAGACTTTTATACAGTCGAGCCCGCTTATAACAAACCTGAACCTGACACGCATTCGTTCGCTGTATACTGAAGTTTGTAGTAAATGAAACACAGCTTTTAAAAAAGTTGTGAGTGAAAACACAAACTTTTTTGCCCAAAAAAGTCCGTGATGCACGTGTTTCAAAGAGCAGAAGTGATAAGGGCAGTCCCAAGTTTATTTCAAGCGGCAGCGTGCTCATTCGCCGAGGCCTGTGGCGTAAGCTGCATGAGGCACTGGCTCCAAAGTTTCGTCGTTCTCCCAATGCGATTCCTCCGTATCGCTATTGCCACGTACTTCATTCACAATGCCCTAATCCGTGCACGCTTCCACGGTGTCGGCATCATGATCGGCCGTAATTAAACCATCGCAACAAATGTCCCACCCGCTCTCCCAGGACGGAGTGGATGACGCGCTGCGACAAATCGCTGCCGAAGTGATCCTGTTCGAAAGCTTCAGGCTCGGCATCGGGCCTGACGACGACGAAGTCGGCCTCGTGATAACAGTTACGCGTGCATGTAGTCGTCACTGCCGCCCACGAAATATTAACCATCTCCACAGCTGAATACCGGAACCCCCGAAGCGGCAAGTTGGCTGCCAGGTGGTCAACAGCTACGAGCAAGCACTCCGCAACACGGCACCTAACGCACGGATTACGCTCAAGCCAAGCGGTCACACTTTCGATGTTTCGTTGAGCAGCAGGAAAAGGAAAAGGAGCAGCCTGCTATTGTGCCACACACGCACACAAAGAGCGAGCAAGACGCACACACGCGATACATATGCCAGAATGCGTGGAACAGATCTCGGCCCGTTCCTAGTCAGAAAACGAAACTGATTTGAGCCAGCGTGACTGGCGTCTTGGAGTGGTGGAGACGGGCGAAGGGGTTGTGATCAAGAGAGGAAAACAGATTTGTGAGAGGTGACTGGCGTCTTGGAGTGGTGGAGACTGGGCGAAGGGGTTGTGATCAAGAGAGGAAAACAGATTTGTGAGAGAAGGGCAAGGAGTTGCGATAGAGTGAAGAGAGGGAAGGATACGGTGAGAGGGCGACCTTGAAACCAAAACACGTGGGAAGCAGGCAGGTCAGGGTAGCTTGCTTGAAAGGTACATGAAACGCGCAACTCGCGCATAGAAAAATTTGATGGAGGGCCTGCGTGCGCAGAAGTCAAAGCAAGGCCGCCTGGATCAGCGCGCACGGCGGTGTTCAAATAATCGGTGACCGTGCTCAGAACATCGTTTTCTTGCGCCGGCGGGTTTGCGTGACTTCACCCACCTTGGTATTTCGCGACTCGTTTCACGCAAATGAACAGCCCTTGTCGGGCTTCCGCACACTTGCGGAGGGCATGCTGAGCTGAGTGCGAAGTGAGCGAGAACAGGTCCTAAACACGAAACGAATCGCGAATTTTCAGAGTCGGTGGGGTAGCGTACATGCGTGCACTAGAACGATACAATAAAACAAGACGCAGACGATCGAATACAGACGATGTTGGCAAATGGTCAGGTCACTCTAGGCTGGCGACATTAACGACAGTACCAGCGATTAAAAAGAGGGGAGATGGTCGACCAGTCTTCGAAAAATTGGTGGTAATGTGAAAACAAAGGCCGCGTATGGCGATGCGGGGTGCTCAGAGTAGCGGGGTGACAAAGGACGGAGGGGTGCGTAAGAAAAAGCAGTCGGGGAGAGTGGCAACTAGAGAGGCGTTGAGGCAGGGTCGCCGTTTAACAATAAGAATGCGTGGGCACCTCGCCGATGCCTGATGGGTGGTCTTAAGTGGTTTCCAGGGAAGTTGGCAGAGCGCAGAACCTGTTTGCTGTAACCGATCGCCGAAGTTCGAAAACGTTCGTTGCAAATGCGATTTTGTGCCATTGAACCAATGTATATTTTCACGGTCACGCGGATATTGTTTGTTTTAAGCGAAAGTTCGTTTTAAGTGGGGCCGTTATATGTGGGCTTGACTGTAGTGATCAGGCCCTAATAATCAAAGTTAACAGAAGCTCATCGAGCACCTGTGATCCCACTTACACCATCCATGTTCGCAGTTGGTGCTTAACTATCAGCGATTGCAACTGCGCCCTTATTGCAACGATTGCAACTGCGCCCCCACCCGCAGGCTTTTACCTCGTGGGTACAAATATGATGCCTAGAGAAACGTTATAAAAGTGGACTTCATACAGAACATGGCGGCAACAGTGATGGCAATGGCAAAAACCCATCGAGAGAATCTATAAAATTGCCATCACAATAAAACAAACAATGAGCGTGACAAAACATTTGAACAGACTGCTGCCGTCGAGACTTAATGTCTACTTTATGTGAATGAATACAGCCAATGAACACTGTGAATTCCACATCTGCTTTTATGCCAAGCTTCAGAAGAGAATTTCATTTTACCAAAACCAAGTCTTGTTAGCACAGCTTGAGACGTGACAGCACATTGGTTTGAAGCATTCTGCCACCTTCATTCGTTATAGAATGCAGTGTTATCACATCTGTATGACATTGAGCCTGAAAAGAGACTGTCCGAATACACTGCAATACATGACAACAGATAGTGCCATGTAGGGAACCTGGGAAGCATCGAAAGAGTGTGGAAATGAGTGTCACATATTCTGAAACATTATTTATGAACACGTCTGACAAAGCTGCGAACACATCTGACAATATTAGTGCATTACTGATTATCCCGTTTTAACTGAATACTGCCGGTGCATTTGTTTACACATTGCATTATTATTTATTACCATGATTTCAGGCATATAAGCCACAGACTAAACGAAATTAATTCAGAGCTTAAGTGGGGTGCAAGTGGTATGCCAATGTTGGTGTGCAAAGAGCTTCAAGGCAATGCTTTACAGCAATCTAAGGCAATGAAGGTGCCAGTGATAGGTACAGTGGAAAATGACCAGAGCTGAAGATGGAGGAGTGACACTGATGACTGAAACCGAGTGAAAAATGAAGTCCACCCCCCCCCCCCCCCCTTTTCGCACACTTGCAGCACAGTTAGTGGCATATTTCTATCGAATTGCAAAAAGCATTTCCATGAGATGTAAATGCGCGAGTGATACATGGGATCATCCTTTTCCAATTGGTTTAAGGCTAATACGTGTGGATTATGGGAGATAAAATATGGTAAGTGCAGACAGTTATATAAATACGGCTGCCAACCTTGTCAGCAAAGATCATGATGCCGTAGTCCGTCTTCCCACGAAGCGCTCGACCCACACACTGTGCAGCATGCCGCATCGCATCGAAGGTGAGGAAGTCGTTCTCCCGAATCTGGAACTGGTCCCGCAGAAACTCCAGCCGAGCCTGGCAAGGAAACAAATTCTAGTGCTTAGATGTTTTTTGTTTCATTAGGATTACCTTCATTACCTTTCATTGTACCTTCGTAAGCTGAGAGCCAGCAGCAGCTATACACAAACAACCAGCCAACTGTGCTGGTACAAAGCTAGTGCTCGTGATAGGCCAGACACAAACAATCGTCTGGCTTTACGCAAACTCGAGGACTCTTTTCAAACTTTCCCCTCTTGATCTTAATTATTGTACATATTAGCAAAGCTGAGGCAATTTTATTATATAGACGGCATAACTAGACGAAATTGGTGAAAATACACACACATACCGCGTTTACAAAACCCATGTCTTAAAGGACCACATAGACTAATCGAAGCTGGTGCCAACAGGTGCCGCAGCAACTAGCAGCTGCAGAATAGGAGAGGGGAATTTTGTCGGCAGCAGCGAAAGTCCAGACTCATAGGCAACGCACCATAGGCTGACCTTTCAGTTAGTCTTGAACAACTGTGGAGGCTAGTGCTGTCAGCCAGTGTTGTGGAGTTGCCCCTCCGGAATTGGAGCAACTCCGCAATCATTCCACATTTCGCGATCCCAGTATGGAATGAGAATAGAACGAGGACAAAGCTTGGAGGGATGGAATCGGAATGGAATTAAGCATCTTTTACGTCAAATGGAATTGTGGTGGAATTATGTCTTTTTCCAAAAACAGATTACATTTTTGTCTTTGCGCTGTATTTTAAACTTCGAACATCAGTAAGCCAGAGTCTCAAATTTAACAATAAAGCAGTGTTTTTAAAATGGCTTGGCTGATTACAGACACGATACACTTATAAGTGATGTGCCTGCTACAATTCTGTCCTGTGATGCTCTAAAGTTTGTCTCTATTCTTTTCATAACTGTGGCTCTATGCCATCGGTATCTGTCGCTCAGAACTGTGGCGGCGGCATACTTTCCTTTGCAGTGTTCAGCAAAGTTGCTGAACATAACCACTGTGCTGCAGCAAAGACATTTTTCTTTTTAAAGCTGCTCAAAGAATTCGAAGGCCAGCATGACTGCCTACCTTAGGGCTGGCGTGTAGTTGATTGAGTGTTGAGGCAATGGCTGGAGGGGCGATAGAGTAACTCAGAGTACACATAGGTGAGATGGTCAATAAATAGGGGGTGAGAACATGGTCACGTGAATAGTCGCTTTTATTCTGACCCCCTCCATCAACTGTGCATTGGTGGAAAATAAACTATTATTATTATTATTATTATTCGGGAATATGCAGAGGAGAGATGTAAGCACAGCGGATGCTACCATCGCCGCATGGCGGTGCTCCACAAGTAAATGACAGGGGCTTTTCTGCATACTCGAGTGAGAACTTTTGGCAGCAGAACAAATCGTATGACCTGCAGTTTGCCATAGTGCTGAGCATTTCTGTAGAATAATTACACATTCCCAGAATATGTTAAACGGAACATAGTAATTGACACATAATTCTATTGGGTTATATTTAGTTTTTGCGATTGCGAGTGTAGGAGCTGGGAAATAGAATCGAGTGAAAACGAACATTTAATTGTTCTACTGTATTCAGGAAATTTCTAGACTGTTTTAGACAATTCTGAAAACAGCACATACACAACCCAAGCAGCCAATATTAGCCTTGAGCTACGCAAGCCGCCGCGATAACACTGAAACTTTGTGCAGTCGAATCTCATTAATTCAAACACGCTTCATTCGAACTTCACGCTGAGGTCCCGTCAAAGCTATGTGTATTCTAATGGGTGAAAACGCCTGGTGATTCGAATACGCAAGCACTTGCGACAGTTAATTTGAACATATCACGCTCTGAAAATTCTCTCAGCACCATGCCCAATCCTGCGGTGGCACCTCCGGCATCTCAACGCTGCACGTGAAGGAAAAGAAAAAGAAAGAAAAGGCTGCGGTGGAATGTACGGTCTCTCTCAAATGCCGATTGGCGACGCGCCTGTGCCACGCTTCCCCCTTTCCCATCCCTGCCACGTAAACCCTTCTCTTTTTAACGACGTGCACGAAGAGAAAAAAAAAAGTTGGCATGGAGTGTTGGTTCTCTCTCAAATGTCGATCTGCTTCTCTCCGCGTGAAGACGCGCCTCCTTCATCGTCACGTACTGGCTACGCTGCGACTGAGGGTAGCAGCCAACGTTTTTCGATACTGTGGTAGCAGCGGAGCAGAGGTGCAGTCGTGTTGTCGTCGTTGATTTTAGAAAGTGTCGGCGCTGGACATTGCTGCGCGCAACTTCTCTTGCCAGAAAAATGCTGAAGCCGAAACGAAATGCTCTGCAAGCTGCGTGCGAAATTGACTCACTGCAAAAAAGTGTGCAGATGCGCATCATCAATTACTTCAATTAATGACGGTTGTCCTGTTATTTGTGAATAAATGTAAGTCTTTTGAAACTTTCCCCTCGTGTGTTAGCTCAATGCACATGCGCCACTGCATGGTGAGCCCTCCGTTCATTTAGCTTTCATTAATTCGAACTTATTTTAATTCCAACGAATTTTCGGGCCCCTTCGAGTTTAAATTATCGAGATTCCAATCTATTATTCATGTCTAATAAACAACGCATTCCGTGAATCATCAGATGAGACATGGTTTACCACAGTGACCAACTCTATCAGCGCACAGCACGGATTGCGTGTACTTTTGAGCGTTCATTTCAGGGCCCAAGTTAACCCAGTAGAGTTCCATATTTATCGGCATTCAGCAAAACATGCCGCACGGCAACTGTGAGACTTTACTGTCTCGTGCATCTATCTATCTGTGGTGTCGTGAAAGGAGCATACCGCCCGCACTCACTCACCCGAAGAATCCTGCTCTGCGTGTAGACGAAGGGGATGCCAAACATGAGCACTGCCCGACCAAGGTGGTGGTCTGCGAGAGAGGGAAAATCAGTCCTAGACGCACCCTTCGATGGGCTGCGGAAGCCAGCCGCCTTACCGAAGTCGACACCTTCGGACACCTTGCCTCGGGCTACAGAAAGCAGCACGGCGCCCCTTCCGTTCTCGCATGCCTACACAAATGCCCCACGTATTCAGCACTCGTTCTTATCAATCTTTTGTGTGTGCTTAATTTCATTTCCTGATCATTGCTACACTGACTCGAAGAAAACATAGAAAGGCCAAGTCACAAGAGTACAACTTAAGCAGCTGCATTAAGTAAAATGTTGGCAAAAAATATTGCGTAAGTAGCCGCATCACTTAAATTTGAACCTCGACACTATAATGAATACTGACATGGCTTGTGCACATATCCCTTTTAAGTTCAAATGAAGTCAAAGTGAATGGTAATTAGTACAGAATAATTTCAATGCAAATCTGCACAGTAGCAGTATTTCAATAGCAGTAGTGTGCCACTTATTAGCAACAAAGCATGGTACCTTTTAACGTTCTAACGTTCAAATCAATAAACTCCAATCCCTATCAGGCATACACAAAGAAGTACCTTGACGTAGTTAGCCAGTGCAAGTGCCGTCTCGGCCGCATCAGGCGTCTCAAGGAAAAGCAGCTTGCGGCGCTGCAGCTGGTCGAGGACGCCCTGCTCGTACCAGGCAGCCACCACCGACTCGAGGTACACGTACGAGGTGAAGAAGCACACCAGGCCGTCGGGCACGCACGATGCCAGCTCCACCAGCAGGGCGCCGTAGTTGCGCACCACCGACACCTCCTCGCGTGTCTCAAAGCGCGAACTCAGGGCAACTTGGTCGCTGCCCTTGCTCACAATCTGCACAGCGTATGCGTGACAATGTCTCATTAAAGTAGTAATAATATAAATTAATCATAATGATAATATTAATAATAATACGTTCTTTAGCGAACGTATTATTATTAGTGGTGGCCGTGGAGGTATGGACGAAATTTTTGTACCGCCCATACAACAGCGAGGCACCCTTGTTCGGTTATTGCATAATTTTTCTCGGCAGCAGTCAAAGCACGACTGGCGTAAGCGATGACACATTCGTGTGTGGTGTTGTCACGCTGCAGTAGAACGGCACCGAGACCATCACCACTGGCGTCAGTGTGAAGAATGGTGGGTGCACCTGGATCGAAGTGACATAGTACCAGGTCGGATGTCAGGGCTTGCTTCAACGCCAGGAAAGCTTTTTCACAGTCTTCGGACCAGGCGAATTCCGTGTTACTTGCGAGCAGTTGATGGAGCGTAGAGGCAAGCCTTGCAAAATCGGGTATGAAGCGCCGAAAGTAGCATGCCAAGCTGAGAAAACTGCGCAGGTATTTTTCACGCAACGAACGAAGAAACTCAAGGACGGTGGCAAGCTTTTCAGGATCCAGTCGAATACCGCCTTTGCTGACTAAATGCCCTAGAACCTTAATCGTTTTGCTTGCGAAGGTGCATTTTTCGTATTCAGCTGTAAACCAGCTTTTGCAAAGCAACCTAGGACTTCTTCGAGACGTTGCAGATGTTGCGAAAAGATAGACGAAAACACTATAATGTCGTCAAGGTAGCATAAGCAGGTTTTCAACTTCAGGCCACGCAGTATGCTATCGATCATACGTTCAAAGGTAGCAGGCGCGTTGCAAAGTTCGAAAGCCATTACGTTAAATTCATATAGCCCATCTGGGGTGGTAGAAGCCATCTTCTCTTTGTGAGATTCGGACACTGGTATTTGCCAGTAGCCCGATCGGAGGTCAAGGCTGGAAAAATACTCTTGCGCCATGCAACGAATTTAGTGCGTCATCGATTCGTGGGAGAGGGTAAACATCTTTGTGCAGTTATTTTGTTCAGTGCCCAGTAATCATCGCAAAAATGTACTGTTCCGTTTTTCTTTTGCACCAAAACAACTGACGAAGACCATGGATTTGAGGAAGGACGTATAATATTCCGTCGAAGCACGTCTGAGACGTTTTCTTTGATTATCTTCCTTTCTGCAAGAGACACACAGTATGGGCACCGGTGAATAATTCGGGAGCCGTCAGTCTGAATTTGGTGAGTCACAGAAGTTGTCATACCAAGGACAGCAGAATGAATGTCAAACAAAGAGAGAAGTCTGTTCAATAAATTCAGCAGTTCTTGACTCTGGGATGCTGTCAGATCAGGGCTTATTGTCACCGATAGAGGAGTGGGAGAGTTGAATGGCGGCGTGCTTGGCTCTGGTGGGTCTCCTTGACTTGGAAGGGCAACAGTTGCAATGAGATGCGGGTCAATAGCGCATGTGACTGTTGATCCACAGGGCAACAAGAAGGGTTCAGGGGTCTGATTTAATGCAGTAATAAAAGCAGACCCTTCAGAAAAACGAACAAGGCCTGGAATGATCAGAATGCCTCGATGTACCTAGTGGCCACAAGGTAGTAGAAGCACGTCGCCATCCACATGTTGATGCAATCAACGCTAACTACTTCTACTCGGGATGGCCAAAGAACATAATCTGAAGTGGTGACGAGACTAATGCGCTCTTCGTGTTCCGATACAGAAGAGTCAGTGGCATTGAGATGGATGAGGCGCTGACGACAAGATATAGAAGCGTGTGCAGACGACAGAAAATCCCACCCCAAAATAAGTTCGTGGGTGCACTCACGGAGAACTGCACCAGGAATATGATGACGAATACCATCTATGAAAACCCAAACTGTACACTGGGCGAGTGGGCGACAAATGGCGTTCGTCGCAGCACGGAGAGACGGGCCCGAGTAAGGTGTTGTTACTTTGCGGAGAAGGGAGCAAAGGTCAGAGCGAATAATGGAAATAGCAGCGTCAGTATCTTCTAGAGCTTAAACGCGTACACCTTATACTAACAATGTTAACAAGGTCGATGGTCTGTCTGGAGGAATTGCTTGGCTGTCCGGTGGATGCAGTTTCCCCTCCTAAAACTGCATTGGGAAGTTTTCCGAGCGGGCATTCAGAACATTGGAGGCAGGTCGCAGAGGCGACACAGAACGGCGATTGGGATATGGTGAGCGGCGGCGAGACTCACGAGACTTCACAGGCAGACCAATACTGTAAGGTGGAGAGGGCGAACGCTGAAAAGAAGACCGGTAAGGCATGCGCTGGTAGTTCGTGAGTGGTCTGAAGCGGCCGCGTTTTTCTGGAGCGTAGCCTTTTGCTCGTCCTGTTGGCGCCTTCAGCAAAAGCGAGATATATGACCTCTATAGCCGCAATAATAACAGAGTGGGCGTGGAGGACGCGGCATGGACGTAATACGGCTGTGGGCGCATCGGTGGTGACACTGACGCCACAGGTACATAGCCACCTGGTGTAGCCGCTGGGATAGTGGTGGGTACTGAGAGCGCCGCGACTTCTGCGTACATTGGTACCTGACGAGGTCTGGATTCGGCAGAACAAGGTGGATGTGACTCACATGCAATCTCTTGTCTAATGATGTCCTGCAAGTTGGTTGGAGCTGAGGCTAAAGTAGATGGTGGAGCGCAGGAAGAGCAGCGCCCATGAAGCTCCTCTAGAATGATGTCGCAGACCAGGGCACGGATGTCGAGGGCTGCAGGAAGACGAATGTCCAAGGCATCATGGCAAAGACGAAGAGACTGAAATTCTTCTAGTCTCTGGCAAATGGTGATGACATCTTGAGTCGTGGTAGGGTTTTGCGATGCAAAGGCGTTGAATGCGACGGTATTTATGCATTTGATAATATGGCGTGTTTGGTCGCTTTAAGGCATAGATGAATTTACGTGCTTGCACTAGGCAAGAACATCCTCAATGTACGAGGTGTATGATTCACCCGCCAGCTGAATGCGTTCAACAAGCTTCTTTGTTGCTGCTTCAGCGCGAACACTGGGGGAACCGAAAATCTGATGGATCTGCCGTGCGAAACGTGTCCCAGCGGGGAAGATCTTGGAGGTATGTAGTTCTAAAACCAGGATTTGGCAACATCAGTTAGGTAGAAAGGGACCGTACATAACTTGTGTAGAGTATCCCACCTGTTCAACTCGCCGACAAGGTTGTAGGTGTGTAGCCATTTTTTAACGTCATCCCCTTTGAGACCCAAGAATACTGGCGGATCACGCTGGTGGCTGTGAATGGCCAGGGTCGACGGCGGAGGCTGCACTGGGCTGGTGATGTTGGATGGACCAGGATTGTCTTGCGCTGCCATGGCAGGTGGTAGTAGACGATGACCCGAGCGGAGCTCCAGTGGTAACGTGCGAGAGGACTTGGGGATCGAGAAGCACTATCCAACACTTATGAGGAAGAGCTTTATTCGAAACGAGCTCGAGCTGGCACGCACTGATGATGATATCTACAGATGAGGAAATTATACAAATGATGATGACACGTCCAATTGACAAAGAAGAGTCGGTGACTGCACTCACAATAATAACACTCATGCACCATGTAGTGTTTACGGAGGAACATATTGTACCTTGCTCATTTAACTGTTTTAGTGATGCTCTTAAAGACCACCTCAAATCTTGCCTGTAGCCATGGTTCTATCAAAGACTGAACACAAATTCAAAGGGAAACTAACTTCAGCTAAATAATTAAGTGACAGCCAGTAACACCGTCAGAGATCGTCAAAATTTTCCTTATTCTGCTCAGAAAACTACTGCATACTCACCAGAGGGCATATGCTGGGTCTCGCCAAAGTTATGCTAAGAGAAGCCGATACGACTGGTCGAAAGTCCAGGATCTTTGGGTACATCTCCACGGGAGACAGCGTCTGTGGAACAATCATATTTCAGCATGTTGTTTTGTATAACTTGAAGTATCGTGATGCACAGTAGCAGCAGCTGCTAGCAGTCCTGTCTATGGCTTCCCCAACAAATTTCCCTGTTCTACTGGAAAATCAGTGCCATATTTTCGCGTACATAAGCAATTCCTCCCTCCATATAACGTGCACTCCCAGCGAAAAACCACGGTAAAGTAAAAGATAACGAACAAAAAAAAACCCCGTACATTACTGTAAAGCCACTTTGATGCCCACTTACCCCCTGAAATTGATGTATAAACCCCACACTAATTTCAGCTCCCTAATTTCCTGTATAATTTGAGAGAGTTATAGATGAGAAAATACATACAGCAACTCCATGGCTGGAAAGATGGAATGTTAAAATGCTAAGTTAAAGGTATCAGTAGTGTCGCCACCAATGGTGGCACAACAGCAGCAGAAAGTTTAACATGCAAGAACACATTTTAGCAAACCACTTTCATAATTTGCAACTGGCGAATGGTGACCAGGGGTCTCCTGGCCTACCATGTTCGCTTACGCATTAGAGGCACTGGCTGATTAGACTAGTGTGTTCGCTATGCACTGTTATAAAAATTGTGTGGAAGACATGCATAGAAATGATGTAGAAAGCATACGTGCAATCAAACTGAGTTGCTTACTATCGTTTCATCTTTATTACTGTGCTTCATGCATGGCACCACGACAGCACCACATAAACCACACCCTGCAGTCGGACTTTTAACACCGTATGTTCCACGCAGGAACTAAAGTCTCCCACGAGATCGAACACTGGCACCATCCTTCGGTTTTCCTACTCACTCTTCAAAAGTTCACTGGCAATTTATAAGCAGCACAATTCGCTGTGCCTCGACGAATGCGGCAACCTTATGGAGCTACCTTTCGAGTGAGCATCCAGAAACAACCGAACGCCAGGTCGGTGTGCTCCCCTACCCACTGGGACAAACCAGTGGGTTCCTGGTCGGCACTAAGGATCGAACCTGGCACCTCCTGAATTGGAAGCGGACGCTCTAACCATGTAGCCACTGCTGCAGTTCGACATAATTACCTACAACGCCGGTCAAATGGCACCCACCCGTCTAACACTTACCCCTGACGTGATGATGACCGACTGAAAGCGGTTGAAGACTGGCTTGATCGAGAGTGAGGCATCCATGCAGGAGAGGTTTATCACAGGGTTTGGCACACCGGGACTCCGCTCGTCATACGGCTCGACAATTATTGTGAATCCTGCACCACCAAAGGGATGACTTGGCCCCAATTGTACAACATATGCACCCAGGCAAATCACTTCATTAAGGCACAGCTGCACTAACACAGTTTAATTCGAATGGCATAATAACTCTGAAGAGAACAACAAAACAGCACGATATATGTGTTGTGCTGCCCAATCATCGAATTAGAACCCCACCAACTCTATAAAATGTCTAAGCTTCTACAATATATTATATACAATAGATTTACACAATGAATTATGAAGCGACCAAGAAAATATGCTTCGTTTAACAGGAGTTCTACCTGCTCAGATGAAAAGAAGTGTGGAATTAAGGTACAAAAGCAATCACATGGGAGGCAGCTGTTCCATAAGCAGCAATCCCGTTCAGAACATCTGTGTATATTGAGCAGTGTACTGTATACATAGGCCCAGGCTTGTATAATGTACTGTATGGCAGTTCATTCTCTATTGATGCTTTACTGCATCACACAGCTGTGCTACAGTGAAGCCTTCACAACCAAGTTTACCACCATCCTTTTTAGGCGCAAATTACGACATGCTGTCCATAAATGTCTCAATTTCATACAGCGAAATTCTAATACATTCGTAATTACAATCCAAAAAAGAAAACTAAGAAATGCTTTGTTTTCTGTGAGCTTTGCTAATTCATATTTATTAGCGACTATTTATATATCTGATTATGTCACAGCCAGTCATGTTTGATTTTTTTCACAATAATAAAAAAATCTTGAGCTTGAAATGCACATGCAGTTCGTTTCTGGTTGTGTTTACTTCAAGCGAAGAAAAATAATACATAGGACGTGTGTCCTGGAACACAGCACGTTGAGCGACCTGTCGAACATAGTAAGTACGAAAGAACTTGGCCACAGTCGCATGCAGCACATTGGGTTCAAATCACGACGCGTCGACCATGCAAAAGGTTGAATTGATCTTATGCATAATGTGTCTTGCCCTTTCTCTTCCGCTAGTCGGGGGAACTGGTAAAAGCAAGCGGCGTCCACATATGTGAACGCTCTGCCTCAAAGGCTATAGAGAGCAAGTAACAAAACCTTTGGTGCACAGGCCATTCACCAATGAAAGCCCACCTTGTTTGTTTGTTTTCTTTACGGGATTACTCTAGCTTCAATACATCATTTGACAGCATCTGTCAAAACAGCGCACTATTGTCAGCACGAATATTTATATTTATGTAAGAAGTTAATGCTGTACCAATGACATTTCATGTAGAAGCAAAGGGGCACTTGTGGAAGCATAGTTTTTGCAAGCTAATGGGATAGAGGGCTGTCATTGGCGGCCAATAAGGATTGGTGAAGCTCAACGACATGTGCTGAAATTCGGACACATGTCTCCATGCAGGAAAGACTGACGCATGGCTTGCACCAGACAAAGAAGCCTGGAGGCAAAGCCACAGATGCCATGTTGCCAATTAATGGCAGATTCCAGCGCTCGAGCAGCACGGGGAGAGCACTCACACTAACTAGGATGCGCTCAGTTCCCCCAACACACGGAAATCAAACAAACATACAGACACAGAAATCAAACCACACTGAGACTTAAAAAAGGGATAACTGACAACCAACTGTTGTTAGCACAAAACTACAAGAAAATACATTCAAATTTCTCTGAAAGAATGCCTCTTGAGGGCTCTATATAGTATCAGGTAGCATTTGCACGAGCCATCAGCAGCACAGGTTAGCGAGGCTAGGTTCGTCTTGTTACGTTGAGGTGTAAACAAAGTACTTTATACGAACACGCCTACATCGCACTACATTGCCTTAACGCACGCGTATTTGAGCACGACCAGCGTCCCTTTGTAACAATGATAGCCATACGTGGTGGAGTCTGGGTAACGACGCCGGCGCAAAATGCAGCATGTTGCATCTAGCGCCGGCTGCAGCCGAAGCACACGCAAAACTTATTGATACCGCCCCACATCACACTTTAGATTGCTCGCGTTTTGCTAGCATAGCATCACTGTGCGGAGAAAGCGTATGTATCGACGTTACCTTGGACTATATGGAGTCTTGTAGCAGCTGAAACATTCGTCCTGGTCCAGGAATCGAACCCGTGAGCAACGTCTTTCTGAGGCATTCGCTCTACCATTAGAGCTAACAGGGAAGCTAGCCAATTGCCCCGCAAGGGTGAATTCATCGACAACCCAAAAGACACAAACACAGAATACAGAACAGATCCCCATGCCAGGACGCAGAATTCGGACACAATCAACCCCTGAACCTAAGAGAAACTTTTTGGCAACTAAAAAGCTTTTCATGAGAAGTTTGTATGAATTTCCTTGCAGCTCTATGCTTTCAAAGATTAGTTATCAATTTCTCTCTCAACTCTTCTGACACCTTGTTGGTTTCGCGGAACTCATTTGCAACGCACCCTTAGTGTAGGTGCTCACTAGGCTGGCAAAGTGGCAGAGGCGCACCAGCGGGCTGAAGTTGGTCGGGTCGGGCACCTCCAGCGTGCGCAGCAGGGACCGAAGCCGCTCCGCTGAAAACCGCAGGGGCTTTCGTTCCAAGCACACCTGGGACGCAAGGATGGCAGGGTTTTCAACACCCTCTCTATCCCAGTCATTGAAATAAGTATTTATGAAGACGAGGTACTGACGCAGAAAACTAACAGTTTGCAAGCCAGGCGGTCTCACAAAATGTACAGTTTCTGGGAGAGTTCTGACTGTGGGCGCATCTGGCAGCTAGTAAAAACTGATAACTAAAACTGACCAGATAAAACACAGAGATAGAAGCCTTTTCTGAGTCCCAGCAAATGACAAGGTGCTCACACATTACAAGTCGTTGTAAAGCGTTGAAGAATAACTGTAGGGGTTTTACGTCCCAAAACAACAATATGATTATGAATGACAGTGTAATTGTGGGCTCCGGAAATTTTCATCCCATGGGGTTCTGCAACGTGCACTTAAATCTAAGTGCAAGGGCCTCTAGCATTTCTCGACATCAAAATGTGGCGCAGGGATTCTTCCCACGACCTTCAAGTCAGCAATAACTGCTAAACCACTGTGGCGAGTGAAATATTAGTAAATGCTTCATAAATCTTTCATGCGGGTCTTGGTACCTGGGCAAAACACATGTCTCTTGAATAGAAGCACACAACAACTTGTGGAACAAAGTGTAGCCAATTCACTCTCGTGCTTTGTCAGACTGGTCGTACAGTGAATCGTTGGGGCAATGACCCGTCTGCTCAGTGTACAAGCCACTACACTGGAGTCTCTTGCTTACTACACAGCCTGTGTAAACCTACTTCATACCAGATGTAGGTTTACATAAGCCTGTTGCAAGCGTTTCCCCCTGGTCCTCGTATTTTTAAGCAGCATATTTATTAAGTGTGTTACCCTAACTTGCCCGCGTCAAGCTTCAGCTTATTCCTTGAAATATGCATGCCTTGCACATGGCTTCAAAAGCCACGCCGTCACGGCTTCTCACCTTCTGCAGAATATCCTTGAGAAAGGCGGCGGGGCTCTCCTGTACCATGTGCTGCGCCCTCAGCCGCATCTTGATGTACTCAAGCAGGCGCCGCAGGAAACTCACAAAGTGCTCGGCCAGGCGGATGTTGCCCGGAACCGCCTCTGCCCCATGGGGGGAAAGGCAAGAACCAGTTGACAATCACTCACTCACTCGCTTTCAGACATGCGAGGAATAGGCGAGGAAATGATGCTCACACTAAAAACAAACCAACCAACCCAGTCTCAGAAGTAGAAGGAACAAGCATGGCGACAGCTTACCTTCCAACACTTCGTCGGGCAGAACTGCAAGAGACAGAAAAGAGAGACAGCATTCAACCCGCAATTACAGAATGTAAATACAGCTGAAAATGCTAACATGAAATTCTCGGCATTCAAGAGCCAAGGTGAAAAATCTCGTTAGTGTCATGGACACTGTAATGAGTTCAGTCCTGTGTAGTTTAGCAATGTGCACCTACATGGAAGGCACGCAAGCATTTTTCACTCCGCCTTCACCAATATGACGTCAGTGTGACCAGGACTAAAAGCATGACATCGAGCTCGATGTCCCGTTGCTATACCCAAGAAGCTGTTGTGGCGAGCCACTGCTCCTTAACAGTGCATACGAGTACAGTTCGCAGGGTCGTTAACCACGAAAGAAACACAGTTGGCTGTACAATATTTCGCAAGGGAGGGCTATGGACTGAACTTTGCCCACTTAAGTTCTTAGTGCTATAGTTCTACTCCTCCTGGCCCAAATGTAGAAAACGACTTTGTGCATGCTTTTGACCTTGAAGTTCAGTCATGGTCAACTTCCTCTCGTTCCTCCTTGCATATGTTTCACCAGAGGAACAGATATGCAGAGTGTTGGTTTTTCAACGTGCAGTTTCATCTGAGCACAGCAAACTCTCACGTAAAGAAAAATCCCTTGCATGGCATTGTCGCTTCAGTAACAACGGTGACAACCGTGTCTAATGTGGTTGCTTTTGTACTTTGATGCTGTAACTTTACTTATATATTTCCCAGTAAATGAAATCGCTGAGTAAAGCATAATGAACACAACATACGTTCTCGGCTACTTTATGTTCCATTTACTGATAGATAAACTGCGCTGAATGCCATGGTTCTAAATGCTGTTGAAACAGACAGTTTCCCACTCCTTTTAAAGGGGCCCTGCAACACTTTTCTAACATGGTCAGAAAATGCTCTCGATCAGTAATAGAGGTTCCCTAGAACACGCGATCCAAATGTTATAGGGTTGCATGGGGCCTGGAATTCACAATAGATTCTTTAACCTCCTGGTCCCTGGGCACCCAATTAGGCTACCATTGTTTTAAAGGCTACAGGAGCATCCCATTTGAGTATCCACGCATGTCCAAATTTCTCTTGGCACAATGAGGATGAGTTGCTTTCACGAAGCCCTAGAAAATGGCACCTCGTCTCTAATCATATCTCGAAAACGAGCGAACGAAAATGACTGAGTACTGCTTGAGCGCTTGGATGCATGTTCATGAAATGTTAAAGCTATTTTTTTTAGTTTTAGCTATGAAAGACACCTTTAGTACATTTCTTTAATTGTGGATGCCCTGTAGATCATATTGAAAGCCATTTCGGTCTGATATTTTTGTTGCAGTCAATCTTAGAGACTTTAAAAGACCAGTAGTACGCAAATGGGTACCATCAATCTTGAGAAAACCGTTAAGTTTTTCAGATTCATAATTTTTCCGTGGTTTGTTTGTTTTTAAGGGCAGGGCATCATATAATACAGTTCTTCAAAAACTTTTCTCATTGGCTGCATTCCTTGAGACTGAGGAGGTTAAAGTCAGCAAAGAATTGCTTTCTCTTCTCTAGACAAATAATCGAACAATCTGAAAAATCACTCATCGCAGCCATTTTATCAGCCATTCGCTGATTTGAGCATGGCATGCTCAGTCCTTACAGGGGCCATCGTAGGAGGCCGCAACTTATCCACACGTTTGCGCGCAGTCACACTACAAAGACACATGTTCGAAGAAAAAAAAAAAGAGAGAAAAGTGCCAAGGTTACGAGGCGCACAGAGAGAGAGAAATAACATTCATTTATACATTCGGCGTGTAGGAAGTCAGCCAGCCTCGCAGGGCGCGGATGTTACCCTATCTTAAGATGACGGCTATTGCAGTTCGATAATCTGAGAGCCTAGACCTCGAGAATGTTGTGCTCCGACTAGGGCGACAGTTACTCGGGTGCCTCCATGCCCGTTAGACGGGTCGTCGGCTCCTTTTTCTCCGTTGCTTCGCCAAAGGCGCACATGAAGTATTTTAATTATTTTCTTTGCTTTCTCTGCGCCATCCCTCCCTGCTTAGCTCCAAGTACTTTTATAAGAACGAGAGAAGAGAGAATGCAATCGCAGCATGCAACAAATCTTTGCAACTCTGCTCATACTCGACGGATGCAAAAAATTTTCGAGGCAGTGAATTTGTGCAGCAATCAGCTCCTTCATTGAATCAATTCCATGGCTTCTTTAAAAAGTGTTGCAGGGCCCTTTTATTTAATGACTGTTATGCTGTACAGCAGGATCTTAGTAATCTCTCCAAATTAGAATGAAGCCGCCACCTCTGTCTATAGAACCCCAGAATGCATGTTCTTATCAACACAGGAACGCAACTGCAGTTGAGGAGTACGATTTTCGGCTGTTTTGCAATGATGGTGCTAGAGGATATAGTCAGAGATGGCAAACTTACTTTAAAAAGCAATACAATCTTATTATTACAACAGCCCAAAATAACGACATGACATCACTATTTTGAAACGTAAAGATTTTTTAAAAGTTAATTTAACAAAATTTAATTCTTTGCGTGCTAACCCAGGTACACTTTATTTATTCTCAGAGACCTCTGTTCAACTTTGACGCTTAGATTGACTTGTCTATGCGATTTTAATTTCCTTTATTTAGTAATTTCTTTATGCCACAAGGAAAGTGAAACGCTGTTTTTTATCAAAAGTAATAGGAAAAACTGAACATATCCTTTAAAATTACTCTTTTGGAGCAATTCATTATATTTATTCAAGTATATCACAGGTTCTAATATTATGTGAGGGAGGGGTCATACATCATAATTTAAACACCAAAGATGTAAGTCAGTAAATACAGAAACAGGTAAATTGTACAAAGTGAATACTAAATACAAATCTTACAATACACTGAACACATTAGTAGTACTGAGGCTGAAGGTGACAGATCAAATACGCAATAAAGGACACATTACTGAATTAACAGCACACAAAAGTAGTTGATTACGTTACCCATTAAACTTAGAGGTGATTCAATCACCACTATTGCATGACTGCCGATTCTAGATAGAGCGCATTACCAGGGTTGGCAAGGATGAGATCAGCGTCCCGGGCTTCCTTGGCCTGGCGCAGCCCCTCCAGCAGCTGCTCGTATTCGGTGCGCAGCTTTTCAGCATCCTTCTCTTTCAACCTGCGCGGTGAAAGTTCCGTTTTTGAAAGGCAGTGTGCCCTAAGGGCTCACAACACACGCTCCCCTAATGGTGGAACAAACGACGCACGAGAATGACTCCGATTTACTCATAAAATGGTGCGCCACAAGCCTTGAAGCATTCTGGGATCAAGCACGACTGACGTGCAAGCCCTACTACGTGTAAGTGAGCACTACTGTTCACTTATACAGGGTTCACTATTGCGCAACACTTCATGCGATTTCACCTTGTTCCATATTGACTGTGCCATTATGGGTACCCGACATACACTATATTCTGTAACTTGCTGGAAAACTACAGAACACTTTACCTAGTGGCATCAAAGCATCCACAAAGTGTCGTGCAGTATTGGTAACAAAGCTGTTGTAACATTTGCATTTACTAGTATTTCTTTGTATGTTTATTTGCTTTTTAGTTTCATACTGACCACTGCATCTGTGAACAAATTTTTTTCAATAGACATGACACTTGTACGAGCATCTTTCTAAAACAATTCGTGCACTGGCAGTGGCTTTGGGGCAGTGAACCTGCTTGCCACGCAAAACGCCAGGATTATAATGTGCTGTGAACCCCAATGTTTTACCTGAATGTGCGCAATAACCGCACCAGAGAGGGGCAGGGGCAGGTGGACAACCACGCCATCGAAACAGACTGCTGTGCACTCAGAATCAGAAATTTTATTTCCATAAAATCAATTATTACAATTGAGTATACAGGGGGAGGTCCCGGAGTCGGAAACTGAACTGGAACCTCCTGTGCAGGGTAAACATCTAGAAAAATATGACGTTTGCATCGACAAGAAGGAAGAAAAAAACTTCAATGTGCATTGTGCAACTCATAGCAGCTTATGCTGCAAAGCAGCCCACACACTGCATCATTTTCATGCCACTGAAATTTTAAAAAGTGGCCACGGAAGGGACTCGATCCTCTGGCCCTCCCCAAAACTGCTGCTGCTGTGTAGCTGAATGCACTAGTGTTTGTGCGGCAGTTGCTAAGAGGCATCGTTGCAATAGGTGACAGCGATGAATATCTCCAAGCTGCGTGCCGACATGCTCGGGCTCCTAGAGGCAATGGACCCACAACAACAGGAGGCTCTGGTGAGATGTTACTTAGCACAATAAAAGAGACAAGCAAGTAACTTACTCCTTGATGGTGTGGTCGAGGTTGTCGATGTTCTCCATGCTCCCGTCGATGGTCCGCTTGGTCAGGCGCACGCTCATGGACTCGATGCACACATTGTCTGCAAAATCACAGCAGAGGACTCTCTTAAGTTGATGAAATGCAGTGAAACGATAACACGGACAAGTATACAGGCTATATCTAAAACATCACTTATATAGGAAGCGCAGATATAAATATGTCAGAAAATTTCAATTTGTACCAGTACTCGTGCTGTCATACATGGCGCCAATGTTGCATGTGTCAGCGATGGCTGCATAAAAGAAATTAGGGGTTCTTCATTGGCAAAGCCGCATTGAAATTACTAAGCATGAAGATTAGTTTTGTTGTGACGCCACGTGCTATTAATCCTCGCTATTATCCAGTGAGGCATTGCAAAATTTGTTACAGGGTGATATGCAGACACAGCATCAAGCATATAGAGCTCATCGTGCATGAATGGCAAACTGAAAAAACATGTCAAGCATGTCAACGCATTAGCTTCAACACAGGAAACTTTTTAGGGCGTTCTGTTCACCATGGCATGCACCAATGAAATGACTGATACAGTATGGTTATGGCGGGTTTGAGCTGAAGGCACTGTGCTCGAAACCCGCGAGAAGTTTTTTTCTACAGGTTCATTATTTCTCGCCTATTTACCTATATGGCATTTTTTAAACCCCAATTTTCGTCCTCCATTTGTTTATTTTTTGCCCGCTTTTCCCACACTCTGGACACCAATAAGGCTTCCAATGCTTCAATGTTAAAAAAAAGAACTGTCAGAGTCCATGCTTACTAAAGAGGATTCCGGTACCAGAAGCAGAAGAAAAACCTCATATTATGCGCACACTTTATATAGTAGTAGCCACTAGCATGTACCATTAACTACATTTAAATTATCACCAACAACTACAACCCGTATCTGAGTGAGCTTTCTTCACAAAGAGAAGAAACTTTATCTGTGTGATACATAAGAATAAACACATACTTTGTCTGCAGTGCTTTTACGCTCCAGTAGTATAGCTAAAGCTTTAGTCCAACTGAGCCCTGCCTCTTGCTTTTTCAATGCAATGCAAATACACTCACACCTCATTATTACAAATTTGCATCTTACAAATTTGCAATTCCTTATAAAGGGCTATTCTTAACACTATGTCTATTGCAAGAACATTTTTCACTTACTTGGTTATAACCAATATTTCGTTGTATCCAGTTTAATGATATTTAGTTTTTTTTTTATATTTATACCATCTTCACCTACTGTCGGTGTCAGCCACCGCTATTGCTACAACAAAAGCTTGTTCATTCAGATTTCACAGGACCAGAAAAAAACGTTCAAGTTAACAGTTTCTGGATCACTGATAGTATCAAGAAAGCAATAAAATAAACAAATGCTTATTACCTCAATAGACTATTATATTCTGGAAGAATACGTAAATATTGAACTGTGCATAAGAGCAGTGTGAAAGCCACAATTTTCGCTATTTTGTTCACAAAGTGACCACCGCTCTAAACTTTCTGTCCTAATGAATCCGAAGCATGCTTACCCGAAATGAACCCAAAACGCCATTACCATTGTTGCCAGATACAGTTCCCACTGATGACAGTGGCCACGCAGACTGCACCGCTTCATTTCAGTTGTTCGCAAACCTCTGATTTGCTCTACAGATTTGTGGTGCTTCCCGCTAGGCACGCTCCGAGAATAACCCGAATTAACCGGTTTGTGCCCTAATATGCCTAAATTAATGAGAATTCGAGGCCACTGAACAATGCCTTGTCGGGACCAGAGAATGCATTCAAATGATCTGATTTTCTGAATTAGTGGCACTGATTTGACGAACTTTCAGAGTATCAACTTTCATGCATATTGTCAATGTTGCTGCAAAGCCACCTAGTTGGTCTATAGTGCACTCCCCAACTTCATCTGCAAAGTATCTGCACCTTTTGTGTGGGTTATACTAGAGAACGTACGGTAGTCAGTTGCAACAGGGCCATCCGCAGAAATTATTCTAATCCTGTGCAGTTCTTTGCACACGCACCACACTCGAACAAAAGATGAGCGGACCCACCAATATTGTGGGCCTCGTCAAAGATGACGACAGCGTTGCGGCTCATTTCCTTCGAGACCACCTCGGCGATCTTGGGATCCAGCAGGTAGTGGTAGCTGTAGACCACCACCTTGGCATTCAGAACCTAGACACAAGACCACAAATATTTCAACACAGCTGGTCTATTTGTAGTCACGATATCCAAGTACGTTATTTCTAAAGCAAAATAGTATTAGTACGGAGTTGAATGCCACTGTCGTGTATCGGCCCTTGTTGCAGCACAGAAAAGCACCGATTCCGAACACATGAGTACTATAGGTGCCCGTATATTACTTAGTTTTACATATACACTTGAACCCCACTATTACGAAGTTGCATTTTACACAAAGATAAGTTCATTATATCCGAAAATGCATTATATGTATATTCCTAGCTTTGTACAAAAAGCAAAACTAGCGTTCATTTACTTCATTACTAAACCAATATTTCATTACATTTGAGTTCGTCATATTGAGGTGTCAGTGTATTCCATAGAATTCCAATGTAAGGGGGTCTTAGCCCGTGCCGCGGTTAAATGTTTTGCGGCAGTGAAGCAAGAACTACAGACGTACATGGTACAATATAAACACACTGCTTTTACAACAGCAAGACAACACGAATCAGACGGCTAACTGTCAAGCTGGAGTTGTTTCTGCATGCTTTCCCATACAAGGAGCTGCAAAACTGTTCGACCTGTACACCAGGACACATCAGTAACAGCGATGATGTGTGGAGCTTTATGGCGCAAGGGCCAATTGATGGCCAAAGAGCGCCATTTCAATGAGTAGAGATGTGGACAATGATATGTTGCGTGGCTGTATAGGGGCCTTAAAATTCCTCGCGATAATGCGGGTAAAAACAAAAGTATTAAAATCATGACAGTGGCGTGACATGCATAGTAAAAAAGGGTGACAAAGGTTTTGATAATAAAAACGTGTAAAAATCTTTGGCACTAGCACAAGTGCCTCATCAGCGCCCTTGTGTGCAAGGGCTGCGAGGCAAGTGCTTTTAAATGTAGTCACTGCAGCAGCCTTTCTTAAGAGGTCGTGCTACGCATTGCCTGGGTACATGACATGATAAAAGCGAACATCTCTTAAAAAAGCTAGCACCGATATATGAGTGAACAGTGGTTCCCTACCGACGAACATTGCAGGGTGTAAAAGTAGTTGTTGTTAGGGTAATGAAAAGTGTTGTTTTCTTAGAGTGTCTAGTTGTTTGCACTGGATTAAAATGTGAAGAACTGTTAGTGCTTCACCACATCTGTCACACAATGGTGGATCGCCACCGGACAAAAGATGCGAGTGTGTCGTGTATGTGTGTCCCATCCTGAGCCTCATTAGTGTTACCTCTGTGTGACGTGATTTTGATACTGGCGCCAATGGCCAAGGTGAGGCCTAATAACGTGTAGTTTGTTTTGTGTGTGTCTATCCCACTTGCTCTGCCAGTAGTCCCTGAGCTTTCGTTTGAGAAACGGCTTAAGATCAAGGGCTGGGATTGACATGGGTGTAGTGGCAGTGCTTTCGTGGACGGATGCAGCAAGCTGATCCGCCATCACGTTGCCTTGGATCTCACGGTGCCCTTGCACCCAGCACACTACAACATGTTGTTTGAGTGTGTAGAGTGTGCATAAAATGGAGTAAGGTGAGACGAGGACAGGGTTTTTTGTTTTTTAAGATTGTGCAGAGCCGTTACCACACTGAGGGAGTCCGTATAAATTACTGCTTTTTGTATTTGTAGCTGTTTGATGTGTTTAGCAGCCACAAATATCGCGTAAGCTTCCGCTGTGAAGATACTTGTGCCTGGATGTAGAGGGCCAGCATCGGAAAAGGATGGGCCGACAGCAGCGTAGAACACAGAGGAGTTAGACTTAGAAGCATCTGTAAAGAACTCAGGACGTGTGCATTTGTGTTGAAGTTCCAGGAAGTATGTTCGGATATGGGCAATAGGCGCATGTTTTGTAACTTCTAGGAAAGACACATCGCAGTCTGCCACTGCCACGGTGACGGGTATACTGTAGGAGCCATTAAACTGTGTTCAAGTGACACTCCAGTTTCCTCAGCTACACCCTTCAGGCGAACTGATAAGGGCTGCCTCATCGAAGGCCTGTTTTGAAACAGAATAGAGCTCGACAAATCATTAATAGTGGAGTAGGAGGGGTGCTTATTGTCTGCATTCACCTTAAGAAATATACAAAGGACATGTAAGTTCTTTGTAGATGAAGCGACCATTCATTTGACTCAACGTAAAGGCTTTCTACAGGGCTGGTGCGAAAAGCACCCGTAGAAAGGCGGATGCCCAAATGGTGCACGGGATCCAGCATCTTCAAAGCACTTTGAGTCGCAGACTGATAAACAACGACCCCATAATCTAAGCGGGTGCGAATGAGGCTTCTATACAGGTTCATGAGACATTGCCTATCACTACCCCACGTAGTACGTGACAACACTTTTATAACATTCATGGCTTTTAAACATTTTGTTTTTAAATACTTCATGTGTGGTACGAAGGTAAACTTGTTGTCCAAGATTAAGCCTAAGAATTTATGCTCGGCTTTGACAGACAGACGTTGCCCGTTCAGTCGAATGTCAGGTTTTGAGTGCATGCCTCTCTTTCAAGAGAACAAGACACACGTGCTTTTTTGTGGGTTAAGTCAAATCCGTTTTCATCTGCCCATTTGGAGACCTTGTTTAAACCCAGCTGAACCTGCCGCTCACATATTGCCAAGTTGCATGACTTGAAGCCAAGCTGAACGTCGTCGACATATGTACAATACAGTGCAGTCCACTTATAACGATATCGAGAAAACCTAAAAATATGATCGTTATAACCGGTGATCGTTATATCTGGACTGCCGCCATAAAATCGTCGCCGGACGTACCTTTTGTAGCTCCAGGCTTCATTTCGCTATTTTCACCAATTATAAATATTGTAGATAGTAGGATGTCAAAAACAAGACTTTATTTCTTACTCCGAAGAACGCATCACGGGTTCGCTGAGGAAGAAAGACTGACCGACGGCGGGGTGGGAGCAGTGGGAGGAAGAAAGCACAGCCAGAGGTACACAGCCGGAATGCCAACGAGGCCCCGCCCCGATGCCGCCACGCCGCTTTGCTTTTCGCTTTTTTTATTTTCTCTCTCACGAGTAGCTTGCCGGCTTGCCTTGTAGAAGGCGTGGAGCCGCGGAGCGCGGCGCTTTGCTTTTCGCATTTTTTTTTAAAATTCTCTCAGCCTCTCCGCGGTCGACGCGCGGCGAGGCGCAAAACGCGACACAGCTGGCGCCATCTGTAGCCCGTCGCGCCAACTCGCGATGCTCTCCTCGGCTTTTTGAACGGCCGGGACGCGCTGCCGGCGCTGTGCTGCAGTGGCGGCAGATACGTACTCTCTACGCTAACTTTTCGTCTTGTCTCGGCATAGTTCGTTTCAGAGGAACTTATCAATCTAAATGTTACGATTATTCTGAATGAAACATGCCGTCCACGGGAAACTTTTCATCGTTGTATTCGATATGCGGTGGATAACATATCGTTATATATGGTTTTTTTCCCCATAGCCCCAATGCATAAAATGAGACTGTTAAGTCGACCCATCGTTATAACCGATATATCGTTATATGTGGTATCGTTATAAGTGGACTGCACTGTAGAACATATTGCAGGGGATGGACAGGTGCAAGGAATTGATTTTGATAATAAAAAGTGTACAATTAAGTACACCACCTTGCAGTACTCCCGTCTCCTGGACAAATGTTTGGGAGAGAACACTGCCTACACGGACACGGAATGTTCGATTGGACAAGTAACTCTCGATTATGGAAAACATTCTACCACGCACACTCAGGTGAGACAAGTCTCTTAATATGCCAAAACGCCATGTTGTGTCGTAAGCCTTCTCGATATCGAGGAACACAGAGAGGAAGTGCTGTTTGTGGGCGAAAGCGTCTCGAATCTGCGCCTCGATATGCACCAGATGGTCGGTGGTGGATCTACCCTCTCGAAACCCACACTGGAATCGGTCGAGCAGACTGTGTGTTTCAAGGAGATGTAAAAGTCGGCGGTTTATGATTTTTTTCAAAAAGTTTACAAAGGCAGCTTGTAAGTGCAATGGGCCTATAACTTGAAACTGAGGAAGGGTCCTTGCTCTCTTTTAAAATGGGAATAATTATAGCCTCTTTCCAGGAAGCAGGGATGACGCCAGAAAACCCGATAGCATTGTATAGGGAGAGTAATGTTTTCCGCGTTTCGAGCGGCAGGTTTTTCAACAATTCATACACGACACGATCGTAGCCTGGTGCAGAATTACTGCAGGAGTTTAGTGACATTTGTAGCTCAGCTAAGTTGAAAGGCTGGTTGTATGCCTCATAGTTCGTACACTTGTGTTCTAGTTTCTACTTTTCTATCCTTCTTTTATATCTTTGAAAAGCTTGAGTATAGTGTGATGAGCTAGACACCTGCTCGTAGTGGGCACCGAGGAAGTTCGCCTGATCTTCCAGGCTGTCACCCTGTGTGTTAACGAGTGGGAGTGTATGTACTTGTCTTCCTGCTACCCTACGAACCATGTTCCAGACTTTGGCCTCTTGTGTATATGAATTGATCCCTGATAGGAACTTGTGCCAGCTTTCTCTTCTGGCCTGCCTGCGCGTTCTCCTGCCTTGAGATTTTATTTTCTTAAAGCTGTCAAGATTTTCGGCTGTCAGTGAATTCCGAAACAACCTCCATGCCTTGTTCTGCTCCTTTCGCGCATTACGACACTCGGTGTTCCACCATGGGATGCGTCGCTTGCCAGGCAGTCCAGATGTTTGCGGGATGCACTTGGCTGCTGCGTCAATAAGGAAAGCTGTGAAGTACTCCACAGCTTCATCTATGCTTAACCCACATATGTCTGTCCAACTTAAAAGAATAGTGTTGTAAAACTGTTCCCAGTCGGCTTTGTATGTCAGCCATTTGGGAACTTGTGAATGACATTGGTATGATGTTGGTGTACTCAGAATGACAGGAAAACGGTCACTTCCGTAAGGATTATTTATAATTTTCCATTGGAGTAGGGGTAGAAGTGAAGGAGATGCAATACTGAGGTCTATGGAGGAGTAAGTATTGTTTGCAAGGTTATAATATGTTGTCTCTTTCCTATTCAACAGGCAAGCACCTGATGAAAAGAACTGTTCGATGAGACGACCTTGTGCATCACATCGACAGTCACACCATAAACCGCTGTGCGCATTCAGGTCCCCTAGAACTAGATAAGGTTCTGGTAACTCATCTATTAAAGACTGGAAATCATGTTTTTCCAGGCGGTGTTGCGGCGGTATGTATAGAGAGCAGATGGTGACGAGCTTATTCAATAGAACTGCTCGAACAGCCACTGCCTCTAGAGATGTTAGTAGTGGTACATGACTACATGCTACTCCTCGATTAACAATAATGGCTACACCACCAGATGATGCCACAGCATCATCTCTGTCCTTTCGGAAGACAACATATTGACGCAAAAAATTTGTATTCTTGGACTTTAAGTGTGTTTCCTGTACACACAGCACTTTTGGAGAATGTTTGTGTAGAAGTTCTTGGACATCTTCGAGGTTTCGAAGTAGTCCTCTGACGTCCCACTGTATAATTTGTGTCTCCATTATGGGAGTAAAGAAGTGCTGTGTGTACGAAATGAGTGTGGCTGGTGTCTAAAGAGAAAAGTGACTTATCATACAGAGCCTTTAGAAGGCCCTGTAATTACCGTTTTGTCTTTTTTTGAGCGGTCGAGGGAACCCCGCCACTCCGTTGGCGCAGTTTGCGCCGGTGCAGTTGATGTGTCCATTGCCTCAGGAGATACGACAGACAATGTTGTTTTCGCTGTAGGCTTCGTCGTGACAGACAGAGCCTTCGAACCCACCAGGCTCGAGGTTGACGGGACAACTTTAGTTTGTGTTGTGCCCTGGCTGCTGCCAGGGTTCACAGGGGCCTTCGGTGGGGCTGTATTCAAGGAGGGTGGGGCAGCCGAGGCTGCTCCCCCCGTGGGGGCTTGTGGCGTTCGCCTCGGCACGCTGCATTGCCGAAAACTGAAGTGGTGCTGACCCCCCTTGCACCACTTCGGCATACGATGTGTTCCCAGCAAAATGCGGGGAAACGCGCTGCCGCGCTTCACGGAAGCTTATGTTCAATTTAAATTTTGCAATTATAATTTCTTTTTCCCTTTTCCAGGCCACGCATGACCTGGAATATGCGGGATGGTCACCCTCACAGTTTGCGCAGTGGACTTGTAGCTGACAGTCATCGTCAGCGGTATGACCTTTGGTGCCGCATTTCGCGCAGGTAATCTGTCCTCGTCAGCTCTGGGAGCCGTGCCCGAACCTCTGACACTTAAAGCAGCGCCGCGGGGTTGGGTATGTGTGGTCTGACTGGCAGTTTAAGATATCCTGTTGCTATTTCAGTGGGGAGAGTGATAGATGCGAAAGTGAGTATGATGTGTTTCGTTGGGGTTTCTTTATTTTCTCTTCTTATTTTGATACGCTGCACCTGAATGACATTTTCTTCTTTCCAGCCTGTTAGAAGTTCATCATCTGAGAGGTCTATCAGGTCTCCATCTGATACAACACCCTTCACGGTGTCCATGGTTCGATGCAGTGTGATTGTGATAGGCTGATCCCCAAATGATGTAAATTTATGCAGTCTCTGGCACTGTGCGTGGTCTTTTATTTCGAGTAGCAGGTCACCACTGGCGGTCTTTGTGGCTTTGTAGCCTGCGCCTAGCGTTTCTATAAGGCATCTGGACAAAAGGAAAGGTGAAATGATTCTAGCTTTCTTTCTGTACTTTCACAGTGGATGATGTGGTATTTCGAGAAGTTATCTTTCTTGTTTGGAAGAAATTCGAAAATTGCATCGGTGCGCCACCTCTTGGAGGGGCAATTGGTTGTGAGAGGGCTAGAAGTTCCCTTGAATTTGGTAGCTTATTCGGCCTCCATGCCAGCCACCCACCACCGAGCCCAACAAGGGGACGCTGCGAAACGCGAAGGAGACGCAAGTGCCAGCCGTACATGGCCGCTATAACCTAATATATCTACCCAAGGTTGGATATCTACACCAGGTTAACCCTTGCCGCCAAGAATTGTGGAAGTAAAAAGAAGTGAGGAGAGGACAGGAAAGATCAAAAGTAGTAGAACAGACGAAGATGGAGAGAGAGAAGGAGACAGGAAGAGGTGACTGCCGATTTCCCCTGGGTGGGTCAGCCCAGGGGTGCCGTCTACGAGAAGCCAGGGCCAAAGGGGTGTGTTGCCTCTGCCAGGGGGCCTTAAAGGTCCAATCACCCAGCGTCAGCTTAACCCCCAGGATCCCCTTTTTCCCGGACATGGCAAAGCCACGCACGGTTAGGCGTGGGAGGGAGCCAAACTCCCCCTTTAGCTCGGTTCCGTGGTGTCACTACACACCAAACGCCTACTTGCGCAGGCGCCCCTGCGGGGCATCAGTAACAGTTAACAGCAACAACAAATACAAAGAAACCAATGTCAACACTGCTGGACCAAATGTGCAGCAAAACATGCTTAGAGGTTTCGCTACAATATCTTCCCCTTTGCTAACACAACACACATAGTCCATGAGCATACTGGTGAGCTCCTTAACCTGCGCTTGGTGCAGCAGCTGAGTAATGGGTTGCACTCAAACCTCGATATAACTAACACGAATGTAACGAAATAACGGTTATAATGAAGCAAATAAAGAATGGTCTAGCAATAACACAGTGTTAGAAATATACATTTACACCAAATTTTTGAATATAACAAACTTATTTTTATTTAAGATGAAACTTAATTATAATGAGGTTTGTGTGTATCTACTAATCAATAGAGCACTGCAAACAGAAAAATTATGGGTACAAACTGAACTCAAATAATATATTTTCAGCGCAAACTGATTCAAATAATTTTTGCATATTTATCAAGAACTTTTTTAACACTTCAAAGCAAAACCACAGAAAAAAATCTGCAGGGGATCTCTAAGCTTATTCCAAACTAATATATTTTAAAAAGCATTGTTTCTCAAAGCTGCAACTTGGCACTTCTATATTGAGCATGTCAGAAAGAGCAGTTATCAGTCTTCGAATTTCCCACTTCAGCAAGGTCCTCCATACAGAAATGAGCATACAGATAGCAAGTTCATTTCGAAGCCTCCCATTGGCTCCGTCCGCCACGTTGCTGCAGCATGCCTCGCCATCAGTCGGATAATCGCTCTGGGAGAGCGTCGCCTACTCCTTGCCCTTCAAGGCTGTCAACAATCACACTATTTGATGACACAGCACTCGCTCTGTATTCGCAAGTCAACGATCGTTTAAAATATATTTACGCTTTAGTTTTGCAGCTGCAAGCAGTACTTCAAGCAACAGATTAGGGTAGTGCACTGCGGTCATTGCAAACATAGTAGACGAGAGTCTTGAACCGAATACAATAATCACTTGTGAGACATGCAGTCCGATTGCTGCTTATCATCACTTCAGAACTCGTAACAGAGATCATCACGAGACATCTCTCTGTAGGTGTGATAGAGCGTGACACACTTTGAGACGTCGGGCACTGCGGCCACGCGCATTATGACCGAGGTTACAGCTCGGAGCCGTGACCAGGCCTAACTCCATTCATGGCACCAATGTTGGCGATGCATCTGAGCTTAGTGGGCAAAAACACCACGTTAGCGGACCCGCAAAAGCAAGAAGCTCTGGCGTGCTCTGTTGCAAGGAACAAATCGCATTGTCCGTTCGCTCCTGAGAAGCGTGGATGGGCATTTTACATGTTGGCGAATGTTCAATGTGTGAATGTTCAAATACTTAGAATAATCAAGGCATGGTGCGAATCGAATAGCAAGCGCTATTAGAAGAATATGTGAAGGTTAGATTAGTTGCATACCCCTACTAGTTAGTTGAAAATCTTTAACATGTCATTGCAACACAAACACTACAGCACTCAACCTGCATGCATTTGAAGCTGCATAACACACTGCATGGGACACGTATCAAGGAACTTCAAGCAAAATGAACTCACTGCTTGCCGTGCCACAAAATAAGGACACAGCTGGCGCTGCCGTCCATACTCCTTCAGGTCATCCTGCACGAATGGACAAGGAGAATTAAGTTTACCGCAAGCAGAGCAAAGGTCAAGCACACACCAAGTTACGTTAAGTGCTGAACAACTGTCAAAGAGGGAGCACTGGTGGAAAAAAGTGACATGGCGCCGCTTCCTACAACCCCAGCCGAGTCATAGCTCATTGCAATGCCTCGCCTGCGAATGTGACCAAAACTGATGTACACAATGAATTTAAAACTGAAAAGAGCCTTTTGAACACCGTGCATACTTGCATAATGAGCACACCTTTTTCCAAGAAAATTTAAAGCGAAATTGGGCACTGTGTTTATTATGCCGGGCGAAATTCACGAAAACTATTTCAGGATGAGCAAAAATGAAATGATGCAAAAGAAGAAAATAAGGTAGCTCAACCTTTCACAATTGATATATGTGTGCACTGGTTGGAAACAGTGCACACAGATATCTCTGTTGAACTTCACTCATTGTCATGTGTCGCTTTGCAGCAATGCAGCAGATGAATGTAGGAGATGCATTTAGTATACAGAAGAAAAAAATCCATATTTTGACGACTGAAGTAGCGGGTGCATTTATTATGCGAGTGTGTTTATTATGCAAGTAGATACAACATCCAATGGCCTGAGCCGCATTTATAGAAGGGTACTGCCTGCACAAAGTTCAACCACGTCAATTGATGTGTGTGGGCTATTTTTTATCTGCAGTGTCTTTTGCGGCACTATCACCATAAGAAAAAGCTTTAAATTTTTAGTTACAAGTTGAGTATCCTCTGAACAATTGCTTACAAAAAACCCCCAGTCTCTGTCACTTCACACACGACAATACAGGGCACAGAACTGTGAACATTCAAGCAATGTGCAAAACAGTGAACTCACCACACTGTAGATACCCGTGGGCAGAGGGATGTCTCGGCCCTGGCTCTCAAAGTTCTGCGCGGTGAAGACAACACAATCAGTGGTACGATGAATGAGTATGGTGCAAATACAGAATTCACGCAAATGCAGAAGCTGAAGGCATAGGAAAGACAAACAATCAGAACCTCGTGCTGACTCGCCGATAGTATTTTGTCTCAATGGTCAAGCACGCGGAAGCTTCAACAGGGGAGGTTTCAAAAGCCATCAAGTCGATAGTCAAGCGAGATGACGAAACACCCCACAATTAGATGAAAACGTCGACAGTCGGTGAGCAATGAAAAAAAAAAAATGGAAACACCACAAGCATATCCCCGCGTTCCCAGAGCAAAGAAGCAACACTTAAAGTGGAATGGAAGAGGCAAGCAACAACATCAGTTGTCAGTAATCTGATCAGATAATTTGTACACATGGTATAGAAGATTCGGCATAGAGATTCTAGCTGGTGGTCCTGTTAGTCCCAGGATAAATTACATAGTTCGCGTTGCGCCTCCAATTTTATCAGAGGGTTGGAAAGTAATTAAGAACATTTCCAGACATTTCCGTGCAACCTATCAGTGGTTACACGTTTAACAGGCCAGTTAGACAAAAACTTAATAAGTGCGCAACACAGTATGTGTAAGCATGTATCTACCAGCTCTGCCGATTGATGTGCTCACCTCAAAAAAGGAACAGCACTGGGTGTCGGGGTCGGTTGCTTGCGCTCGCCGATACGAGGCCGTTAGGCTGAAGCACCGACCGTCCACTACTCGGCCGTCCCGCTCTAGGCTCACCTGCAAATGTTCCAGTTAAGCTCAGGTAACACGGTAAGCTACTAGACTTAGGAGCTCCAAAATTAAATAAGGGTGCTGAATATGTTAAAACTTAGGCAGTGTAGACGCACTGGATAGTAAAAACAAAACACCAAAAACAATACAGCTTATGAGAAGCTAGCAAAAGAAATGAGATGAAACCAAAAGGAAAGCATCTTGACCAAATTCCAAAGGAGGTCCTCAAATGTATGGAGCGAATTTGAAACCTCAATACCATGAGCCCGGATATAACGAAATGTCGGTTATAACGAAGTATATGAAATAGTCTTGCAATAGATATAGTGTCAGGGATAAACCTTTGTAATGAAGTTTCAGATATAACAAACTTATTTTCGGGTAAGATAGAACTTTGTTATAATGACCGTCTGAGTGTAGTTATATAGTGAGGTTAAGTAAATAAGAAAACGCATGTACTTGCTCTGCAAAAGCTAAGCCTACACATCAAACTCTGACAGACAACATAACTGAGTGGTTCCAGATTACTTTGAACTGTGCTTCTCACCTACGCTCTGACATTGGTACAACGAACCCAGATGTAGGGAAATATTGGTACAAAGTGTATGAACAATAGCCTTGCAATAAATATGGTGTTAGGAATACAGTACAACCCCGTTTATTCGGACTTCATGAGACCGGAGAGCATGTCCGAATTAAGGGGGATGTGGATTCTAAAAATTTTTTTAAAAATTTTTTGCTCAATCTTAACCAAACTGCACTACCTAAGCTAGTTTTTCATGCTGATTTCAAATCTCTAATTTGTTTCTTAATATTTCAAGTGGTTTAGAAAATATGAAGGTCTGAATCTTAATTAATTGCGTCCTTCTTACGGGACTTCTTGGCAATCTTGCTAAATCCAAAAGTAAATGCATAATCCCAATGCTGGAGACTTGCAGTAGGGGGTGATGCTATTTTTATCCATTTGAAGGCATTTTATAAGCAAGAAAACGGACAAACACTTATGGTCACTATATTAAAATAAATTTCTCTCACTAAAATCTTCAATGGTAACTTTTGAAGTGATGCTAGAGAAATAGAAATAGCATCACCCCCTAGATCGTGTCAAGACGAATAAAATGATACCAACTTTGTCGCATTCACTCGAGTTTAACATAGGAAAAACCCTTGTAAGGCCGAGTGGAATGTCCAAAAACATCGAACTGAGAAAAACGCGTTTGAAGTTTCTAGCAACTTTAACTTTTGCTAAAGTGAAGTTACAGCGATATTAATGACATCATTTGTAGCTCTATATTATAGGATAAATGGCCATGCTAAGTTTCCCAGAATACTGCTCATAGCTTGTTCTAGAACTTTAAAATAGTCATTGACTCAGCATGAGAATTATTATTTTTTTTACTTTGTGGTCGTTCCAGTGCCTTGCAAGTGAAAGGAACACAAAAAAATCATGTAATAATGTTGTCCTTGGATAGACAATAGATTTACGCAAGGTTTAGGTCTAAAAGCAAGAATATTTATTTTTGCGAAAATTCTCACTATTTGCCATCATGACTGTTTACAGCAGACCAGGGCTATAAGCAGAGTCCCCTGCTGGCTTGTGACGCTTTGAAAGTCTTTCCTTTATTGAACTGCTGTCGAGATGCTCTCTTCGCGATTTTTGCAGCCTGCCCTTGTCCTTCTCAAGGCTGCGATGCACCAAGTTATTGCCAGCGCTGTAACCCAGCTTCTCGGCAATTTCCAAGTTGCTCTTGGTTGTGCCTCGGTTGATGCGGCTGATGGCTTCGGCAACTGCCCTTTCGATGCTCCGCAAGGATGCATGCTGAGTTTTGGGGGCCTGCTGCCAAATCATAGCGTGCAAGCTCTCACTTGGGTTCTGGGTGATCTCATCGCTGCACCTTTCCAAGAGGGCATTGTCGCTCAGCCTGCCTCAACACAGGCTCCAATGCCTCAGTTACGAAATCAGACAGGCTGTCCTTGTGTGGTGGGGGCTTCTCATTTTTCGCAAGATCTCTCTGAAATTTGCACCAGGATTCAGGGCCTTCAGGGCAAAGGTCATGCTTTGGTGCCTCCTCAGTTGAAAACATGTGGTTCAAAGTTGCTAGAACAGCCTTCTGCATGCCTGGAACATTGTTCCTGTGGCTTCTCACTGCGTAGCCATAGTATGAGGTGATCTTCTTTATCTTTTGTTGCGTAAGTCTGCCCTTTCTACCAAGTGAGCCACCTTGAGCTTTTTTTTTTTTTTCCAACAAGGGTACGTAAGACAGCTCCCATACGCTTGTCTACATGATTTATGCAGTCCTTTTTTGGCCACCTTTATGAAGCCGTACATCTCTTTTTCTATGAGTGCATGGAATGTCCTGCTGTCGCCGTCCGACAGCATTGTCGTATAACGAAACTTGTGCTTTTCAAGTGACCGCTCAAACAAGCGTAGTGCTGCCTCCACTTCCATCTGGCCAGCATTACAATCAACATTCTTCTGGCACAGAGGGGCATGCTGAATGAGCCAGGCAGAATGTCCTGCTTCTCCTTCCTTGGGTCCTGTGGTGCAAGCCAGGCAAAAGTTCGATAGCACGATATGGTCTATCACGAGGCCACTATACATCTCAACAATGCAGCCAACACATATATGCGAGCTATGTCCACGCGTAAGCCAGGTGCCGTCATAAATGACGTCGATGTTTCCGGGCGCGTTGCCAAACTCCGCATAGAGCTCCTTGACGCGAGCAGCGCTCGCCGCTTCGCGTTCGGCAGCAGTCGCACAGCAGACTTCTTTCATTTATATTCATGTGGCTTTGGTAATTCTTGTGGTGAAGCCCTCGATGCGAAATATTCATTCCGGCGAAGAAGTCTGACACAGCCGTTGCCCCCTTGCCGATACTGTTGATGGCCTTCATGGCACGCATATAAACTTCAAATAGCCTTATTTTGGCATCGGTCTCGTCGGCTATACGTGGGGACAAAAAACGCTCTTCGCGAAAGTCACAACTGCCGCACGTGACTATGAGCTTCGAACACAGCCCGTACTCTTTCTTGGCCTTTGAAATAGTGACGCTTCTTTCACCGCATTCTGGGCACACGACAAGTCCAAATAACGAGCGTATCGCCGCCAGATCAACAATAACCAATTCTGTCCCGTTTTCTTTGCCAGCATCCTCCAGATCAATATCTAGTAACTCGGACTTACGTTACGTTGCACACTGCGATGCGAGTGATGCCTTCAAGCCCGCTGCCTTTTTCGCGCACTCAGCAAACTCGTCCGCCGAATAAAACGCCGTGTCAATGCGGTCTAGGATGCTGCTGGAAGTGCAAGATGACGATCCGATGACGACACAATCCGATGAGGTGCTGCTGCAAGGCACAGGAGAGTGCACCGCTTCGGACACAAGCGGCCGCGGCTGCGCGCTGTCGTCGGAATGCGCCGCTTCGGCGGCATCGGGCGAAATCGGCTGCACGTTGTCGGCTGCTTTCTTTTGGCGGGCGTTCTACGGGCGCCTCCGTTTCTTGCCGTACGCTTGGCGCGTCTTCTTTTTTCGACGAGCGTCTCCAATCATTCCAGCAAAAGATGGAAAGTTGGTGCGTCGGTCGCGTAGCACAAGCAGGCACGTGTGGGAAGCAGACAAACAACGTGCGCGAACGGGAACCGGCGGCCGACGAACAATATACAAAAAAAAAGCTCGGGAAACTTTGGCCGCATCAGCCAATGGGAAGCGAGAAACAGGGGGCTCGTCTGGTGCGCGCGCTCCGGCCAATCAGCGGTTCGGAAGGGGGCTCCGGAAAAGGGGCAAGGGCGGCCGTTCTGTTTAAGCGACGCCATTTTGAAGGGTGACAAAATGTGCACAAAGGAATCAGCTTCAAAACAAGCCCAAGATGGCGGCGATCGGCCGACTGCCTCGCCAGCGGCGCGTGCGGGAAGTTTGAACGAATTTGACCTGCCGTGGGTTGTTTTGCGGCTCCCGTGGTGACTTCATATTCAATTTTAATCCATTTACTGATCAAATTCAGCGTTTACCATTTGAGGACACGTGCTTATAGGTCTAAAAATTTCAAATATCGCATTTTCTCAAAATGGACTTTTTGGCCATTTTTCACCATTCTAAGACTCGCGTCCCCCCTTAACCAAGGGTATGAATTATCGCGAGTACAAACAAAACACTACAAATGTCTCCTACAGCGTCAAACTTTCAATTCTTCAAAAAGTATGTGATCGCGGTTTGCTTTACAGAGGCAATGGGCGATGAAGTCACAATATTGCAAAGTTCCTGCAGGTGGCTCAGTTCGCGCACACTGTTCGAGGTAACCATGCATATGTTCTCTAAAATGGCCAATGCATGCGCAGCCTCCGTTATTGTGTGGTGTGGACACTCGTCTGCACCACTTGGGTATTCGTCAGTCGATTTCCCTTCGCCATGCAAGACTTCACCAACGATATTGCTGTCAGTCACTGTGTGGCCAAGCAACATCGCTGTAACTGCGACGCAATTGCTGAAGGCCCCATCAGCTGGCATGATGCTTACATAACGGCGATCTTGCTCTTCGCCGCTTTTCTTCCGTCAACGGCACCTCTTTCAACACACGCGTTGTGGAACAATAGCCCGTGCCGTTTCTTCAAATGGTCGAACCACACTTACGACGCAATGAAAAAGTCAATGTTTACGGTCAGCGCAAACTTCTCTGCTTGTGCGCAGATAATGGGGCCGCTTAAAAGCAAATGTGCAGTGCGCGATACGGCAATCCAGCGCAATAGCGCCTCTTCTTGCTTCGGGAGCGCTGCCGTTCGAAGCCTCTTCCTCTTATCTCCAAACGTGTCGCCGTCATACGCTTGCATAATCTGGTCATCGCAATTTTCGTAACTGCTCAGCGTGCTTTTCTTCGCGTTAACCTTTTCCACGGCTTCTTTTCAAGGTGCTCCCGCTTGCAATGCCTTCAATATTTTCACCTTCGCAACCGAATCCTTAGCTTCGTACTTCACCCTCTTTCTTCTCTGCAGTGGTTGGGGTGGCTGGTGCCACAGGAGACGTACTAGCCTAGCGACGAGTGTCGAGCAGTGGGCCCCGGGCTTCTCTACTTGTGGGCCTGTTACGAAACTTCCATAACTGCATGGCGCATTAATGCAGGGCGAGTGAGTGGACTGCTCGCAACTTTTCCAATCCATCCTCACCTGCGGGTGTATGCAGAGGTTCTTACGAGATGTGAGGCACAGCCCCAGCAGACCCATGTCTTCCCCGGTCTCCCGCTTGTAGTGCTCGAGCAAACGACGCAGCTCCTCCACTACCTGCACAAAGCGCAACATGGCCAAGGCTGAAGAGAGTCATCTTTAGCACGGCAAGGAACAAGTACAGTAAATAATTGTTAATTAGGATTTCACGGGACCTCAAAAAACGTCCAAATTAATGAGCTGTCAGAAGTGTCAAGAAAACAACAAACAAATGCCTGTTACATCGATGCACTTTCATTTTATTGAGAAATATGTCAATCCAGTACAGTTGAACCCATTTATAGAAGGCATGTTCTGGGCAGAAGTTCTTGTCTTTTATATGAGATGTCTGGTATAAGCAGGGTACCTCGTGTGCATTTTCCTATCAACCCATATTTTACTGTAGGCACACTGGTGTCTCTTATATCAGTGTCTCTTATAAAGGGGTTCGACCGCAATTATTTTGTACAAGAGCGGTCCAAAAGCCGCAATTTTCGTAAGCTGAGCAGTCGTTCATTATGTGAACGCGACTCAGGACCCTCGTGACAATGCGAAATGTACTCCGAACCAATACTTTATTACGTACCATCAACGTGACTGTGGATGGTGACCAGAGATTTCTAAAAGCCCATGGCCATTCTATAACACCAGGTGTAATATTTTCACTCATCCTTTTTATTTTTTTTAGCATTGCTATCTCTACTTTCCCCTTTTTCTGTTTTAAAACAATTGCCACATTTGTGGACTTTAAGTATAAGATTTCCTCATCAGACTATATATTGCTAGATTTCTAATAAGAGTCCAAAAAGCGCAAATGTTATTTTTTTAGATGGGAATTGAGACTACCAGTGCTGATATTGCAATAGAAAGCACATTATAGTCTTACTAAAAAAGCATTTGTGCAGATGTATGAGCGAATCACATTCACTCAATTCTATGACGTCACATTGACAATGAATTTTATTCAATACTCTTTCTTTTCAGAGGGTAAAAACATAAGCATGCACAGGATTCGCCACACGGGGAGCAAAGGCTTACCGTAGAGCCTCCACCCTACTGAGTCAATGTATGTGACAGATTTCACGCCCCTGTTTCTTTCTTAGGCAAGAAGAGTGAGTGGCGGCCCACTCTGGTCCCCCCCCCCTTCCCCGCACATGTCTATTGCTGGAAAAGCAGCAATATCGCGTATATAACGCCTCTTCAAATGCGTCTTTACCTTGCTTGTCTTTAGCAAAAGTTTAGATGACAAAATTAGCTCCCCTTCGTTGGAGCCAGCCTGGGTTGACGGCTAAGGTGACAGCTTCAGGAAAAAGTAATAATATGCCCGGAGGATGTTTGTGAGACCTGATGCCAACTCTCATCCACAAGACAAAAGCTAAGCAAGCGTTATTGTCGTACTCTAACATTTTCCTTGAGAAAATCTCTCAAAAACATGACTCAGCTGACATTAGGTGCATAAACAGGCAAGGCTAGGCATTCCCAGTGCAGAGATGAAATTCTCATAGTTTCCAACTTCCATCTTATTTTTGGATAATGAAATATACAGGCACTACTCATTGTTTTGACCTTGTCTTTCTTGCCGGCTTTGTTATAAAAGGAACCAGGCTTCAGACGGCGACGGTCGACTTAGCAGTTTACTTAGCTGCACAGAGAAAGTGCTGGAACACGGCCATGCAGAGCACGTAGAACGTAGCATGTTAAAAAAGAAAAAATTGCACCTTTTCGATTTCGGGCAGGGTCCGTGAGCAGTAGAGCAGCTTTGATATCATGGCAGGGTTGGCCTGGAATGCAAGTGTAAGATTTCAAAGTTTATCAAAGAATTTGCTACCGAGAGAGCTTGAAATTTCTTACGAAAATTTCACATTACTATGGCCTACTTCTCACACATCCAGTCTTGTGTACAAGGACATAAAATAAAAGCACACATATGCAAAGCCCTGACGAAAAAAAGTGCTCTCGTCGATACACTGATCCCAGCAACACTCCCCATTCAACAATCTTTCTCATGACTGGTGCCAATACTGGCACAACCCCAATACATACAGTAGAACCTCGTTGATATGTTCCTGCATGTTACTGATATGTTCCTCCCATATGTTTCATTTGACAGGAGTTTTATTTACTGAGAGATGAAATGGGTTCAAGCCTTCAAGTACGAAGCCAATCGCATGAAAGGCAGTTGTTCCAGTGTAAGCAGTGATTCTGATGAGGGTCTATTTACTGGGTGTCTACTGTACTTAAAGGGGCCATGGCATGGTCACCCAGAAATTTACAGGTTTTCGGCAAAAAACGGAGGTAAAGGATCAAATAGGCTTGTACGCGCGTGAGAACTGGACTTGAATCGATTATTTCCGCCCAAAATAATTTGTAGAAGTCGTTGGTTATAAACTCCGACGACCACTATTTTGCCATGGTATGCGTGACGTCACCAGCTGTAAGGAGCAGTGCTGTTGTCTGCTACAAAAGAACACCTTCCCCAAGCGGTCAGTGTATTAACTGGGTTGCGAGCATTGCTAGCAATATGGTCCACACGTGTCAGTGTGTTGTAAGTGTTACGGCTTAAGAGACGAAGAACCCACCAGCTCAAGCGACGAAGAATTGATTGATATGTGAGGTTTAACGTCCCAAAACCACCATATGATTATGAGAGACACCGTAGTGGAGGGCTCCGGAAATTTCGACCACCTGGGGTTCTTTAACATGCACCCAAATCTGAGCATACGGGCCTACAGCATTTCCACCCCTATCGGAAATGCAACAGCCACAGCCAGGATTCGATCCCGCGACCTGCGTGTCACCAGCCGAGTACCTTATCAACTAGACCACCGGGGCGGGGAGAAGCGACGAAGAACGCGTCAAAGACGGGGCGGACCCATATGCCAACGACCTCGGCATTGTGGCAGACGTAGCAGACGGTCTTTCGCAATGATAAGTAGCTTTATTTCAAGTGTGCCAGGTTGACAAGCGAGCTTGGGTACGAGGGTCTGTCGATACTGCATTCCCGAGCAAGTGAATCCTAATTGAGCAATGGAATTTTTAAAGCGTTCAGATTTTTGTTTGATTTTTGTAAGAGCGGAGTTACAAAGATTTGTCGCATGCTGCAATCGCATTCTCTCTTCCTTCATCCCAACCGAAAGCACTGAAAATTAAGCAGGAAAACATATGGCACAGGGTAAGAAAATACCTCACGTGCGCCTTGTGACCTTCAGAAGTTTTTCTCCTTTTCTGCTTTTTGGTATGCATGGCTTTTTTGTGCGATTGCACGCGCAGCCAAAACACGGCACTTTACAGCGGCCCCAGACACGACTTAGCACGCCATGCTCTATTCAGCCAATGGCTCATACTTGGCCTGTGATGCAGTGATTTTCGAGCCTGTAGTATCATTGGTCGAGAGAAGAGAAAGCAATTTTCGGCTAACTTCGGAACTTTATTGTAAATTCCAGGCCACATGCTGTGCTTTGGCTCACCTGTTCTCGGCATCCTCTACAACCGATCAGCAGCATTTTCCGACTATGCTCAGAAAGTGTTCCGGGGCTCCCTAAAGAACTACGTATACACCTTGTCGATGCTGGCATAATCTATGACACAACTTCAAGGTGGATATGATGAACTATTTCACTATGAAGAAAATGAAGATAGTTGGATTTTTTTATAGGAACGTAATCATTAATAACCAGATAAAGACATTTCAGTCTTTTATATTTAGTCCTGGCCTTCAATGTGGGTGTGTTTGCAAGCACATAGCAATTCTGACTTCTGGCGTATCTTAATATAATATATGCCATTGCTCTATATTTTCATAATATATGTCTTTGAATTCTGGTGGGAATCAGAGATAATTAAATGCTACTCTTCAAAGCAAATGGACACATGCTGTGTGTGAAACTAAGCCCCATCTTTGGCATTACGGTACAAATGGCATGCATTTCTGATGCAAGGCTAACTCCCTACGCAGCTAAAGCCGAAAGTAGGGCTGGTTGGGACTTCAGCCATGACACTTTCCAGTGTGACAAGAAAAAAATTAGAGATGGGGAAACGAAGAACTGGCAGCACAGCAGGAATTCCGGAGCTTTTTTTACAGTCACGTCATCTTTTATTCCCTGCTCCAACATCAGGTTTTTCTTTCTTCTTATGCTGGAAAATGCCGCGATCGATGCCACAGCTCGACTCGCACCTTTAGCTCTTCAGCCCGTCTCATAAGAGAATGCAGCAATGGCTACGAAGAGACTGACCTTTTGATAGGCAAGGATGAGGGATAGCAGGGTGACAGTCTTTCCCGTGCCCGATGGCATCTCCAGCACCCCATGGCCCTGCAAAAACGATAGGGTGTATTTCAAGCCGGACATCCCATGCAAATGTGTACCATTGTGCATTACTCAGCAGGAAATCCACGCAATATTGAAGAAGTTCAGTACATGATGGAGAATCGAAGAGATTAAAAATTCTAACAAAGAGAGAGAATTGACCTCATCAGCGGTACAGGAAAAATGACACTGATGAAATAGAAAGAAAAAGGACACAGTTTTCTTATACCAGAGGACACAGATGTTCAATTATGCACACAACTATGCATTGAAAGGGGCCCTGCAATGTGAGTTATGCACACTGTTTTGTAATATAATTAAGTAAATATGTACAACACTTCACCATGCTTCCATGACTAGAGTGTTTATTATTAAGATTCGCTATAGAGATCAGTTTCTGGCACCCCCATCTCGCCCACTGCCTGATTTTGGGCAGATGACCCAGAGCGGAAAAATGTGATCCGATAATTTGATGTGACGAGAAATCATCAACATCGAATGCTGCTAGAGGCAAGTTTTCAACGAGAGGACTTCTTAAAACTACTCGTTACTGGGCCAGTTGGTACACGATAATAAGAGAAAATTCTAGATTCCTAAAACACCACAAGAGGAATGAAAAAGCGCAAGAGCCTCCTGGTGCTCTTTCCCTGTGACTCTTTCGTCTTCTTGTGAGGCATCTAGAATTTTCCCTCAAGAGGACATCTCTTTGCAGATGACTCCTTCTGTTGAAACCTTGGCTCCAGCTCTCGTACAAAAACTTCAAGTGCGACGGACAATGCAATACAAAGAAAGGAAACATACACCACAAGTAATTTGTGGTGTGTGTTTGGTGTGTGTGGTGTGTGACGAGACATCACGCTTACAAACGATAAAAATGAAGACGTAAGCGACACTGTTTGTGCCAATATCTTTAACACCGCGTTCTCATCAGTGTTCACTAAAGAAGCCAACGTACCGTTTCCTATGCCACCTACTACGACATTACCACTGATGGCCCCTGTTGTGTTATCCGTTAGTGGAATTTCATCATTCATTGACAAATTAAAACTTTCATCTTCAGCTGGCATAGACAATATTAACTCTAAATTGTTAAAAAATACTAAGGAAATGATTGCAGTGTACTTTTCGATAATGTTCTCATTGTCACTCGAAACAGGAATTTAACCAGACGACTGGAAGGAGGAAAAGGTCATTCCCAGTCCACAAATCAGGTAACATACAGTCCCCACTAAATTATCGACCCATCTCTCTAACAAGCGTCCCCTGCAAAATCATGGAACATGTCATATATTCACACATCATGAACTTTCTTGACACCAACAATTTTTTTCATTCTTCCCAGCACGGATTTCATAAATCATTATCCTGTGAAAACTAACTTGCTATATTTATTCATGATATACACTCTCCTCTCAACAGTCACTTTCAGACCGATGCAATCTTTCTCGACTTCGCAAAAGCCTTCGATAAGGTACTGCACAAACGCCTACTCTTAAAACTTTCCCAGCTGAACCTGCACCCCAATATTCTTGCATGGATCACACAATTTCTTACTAACCGCTCTCAGTTCGTCTCCATTAAAAATACCCGTTCTAGCTCCCTCCCTGTAACATCCGGCATCCCCCAAGAATCTGTACTCGCACCCCTCTTGTTCCTATTATATATTAATGATCTTCCTGTTCATGTATCTTCCCATATCCATTTATTTGCCAACAACTGTGTCATCTATCGCACAGTTACTAACATTTCTGATCAAACTATACTCCAACAGGATCTGGACCTCGTGCAACAGTGGTGTGATCTTTGGTTAATGAAGCTTAACCCCACTAAATGCAAACTCGTCTCATTTCAACGCCAGCGTAATCCTTTATCGTTCTCATACCTAATCTCTGATTCCTCTATCGAACAATTTCAGTCATATAAATACCTAGGCGTCACCTTAACATCTGACCTTTCCTGGAACACACACATCAACAACATCATATCATCTGCGAACAGATCCCTCGGTTTCCTAAAGCGTCATTTGCGTCACGCACCACTAGACATAAAACTTCTGGCTTACAAATCGCTCATCAGACCTAAACTAGAATATGCAGCGCCCATCTGGAGCCCGCACCAGATATACCTAATAAACGAAATAGAATCTGTATAAAATCGTGCCACTAGGTTCATTCACTCTTCATATTCATACGACATAAGCATATCATCCCTAAAATGTGACATTGATATTGCTAATCTTTCTGTGCGTCGCCGCATCGCCAGCCTCTGTTTGTTTCACAAGTTCTTTCACAGTTCCCTCAATCAAGCACCTTACATCATCCCATCAACTGCGCATATCTCACCACACAACCCATCCCTATTCAATCGCACGCGCACGCGCTCGCACTGCTACTTTTGCTGCCTCATTTTTTCTTCGCACAGCAGTGGACTGGAATGGCCTTCCCCGTGACACTGCAGCCATCACGTGTCCATTAACGTTTGCACAAAACATAAATACATATTGTTTGTCAGAACGTCACTCTCTGTAACCTCCATTTGTTAACCCACCCCTTATGTAATACCTCCTCACAGGGGTCTTTAAGGTAATAAAGTGAAGTGAAGTGAAGTAGCCGTGTGCTACCCTTGTGTCCTGTGTCACTTCTTGCACTGAAAGTCGTTATATGAGAACGTGATACCAACTAGTCCCCTTAGCTATCCTGCTGGCTCCAGTATCACTGGCTGTTCAATGATCTCCCATCACTTTGAGGCCTCCATCTTCCCCTGAACGTCTCTTTGTCTTGTTCATTGAATTCGTCTAGAGATGCCATGGTACCTTTTAATGGTACGCTTGTTGTTACTTCTACACAGACCATGGCCTCTACATTCTTAGAGCTACACTATGACATTGACTGCATACAATATGTGTACAATACGACAATGTAAAAATATGCAGTGGCACTGGATGGCACCATCTAAACACATGACAACTCCTAGAGCGTAACATCACATGTAACTGTGCGCAAAACTGGAAAAGATAGTCGAGACAGAGAGTAAACAGCACCGACTTCCAACTGCTTACTGTGCCGACGAAACCATAATATGCACGAGGGACCAGCGGGTAAGGAAAATAAACAAAGCCAAAGGATAAAACAACCAGCATAAAATGCACTGGGTAGTATAGACAAAATCTTCATCACCAAGTTTCTAAAAACCTTGGCTCATCTCTAGCCAATGCTAGCGATGACGTTCCTGACACATTCCTCTCTCGCACAAGCAATCTCTACTGCCTCAGCTATTTTGCTGACGCACTGGTCTTTGTGGCGATAAACAATGCCACTTTTTTTAAAACTCAGAATTTGCAAGGCTGAACATGCCGACGCAAAGACTTATCATGGCAGTTACCACAGTGTAAACTAAGATAAATCAGGTTGCTGTCGCACATTCTTGTTGTGCTCTTTTAGCTGCGTGTTTACACATCTGCCCGTCAGCCCCAAGTATTCACTGAGCAATGAGTGGCCCTTACCTTGGCGTCGAGGCACTGCTTGAGCTGCAGCATGTAGGCATACTGCTCGGGGTAGATGTAGTCGTACGGGAAGAAAACTGACAGGCCATCAACGTCGATCCTGATGGGAAGAAGGCAGCCGTTAATCCCGTTTCAACATAAACATAGCAAACAATGCTGACATGATGTTCAGTTTCAAGCCTTAATGATCTAATTCAAGAGAGGAATTTCAAATGAGCATGCCTGGAAAGTGGTTAAATGGGTGGGCATGAAGGGTAGAAATGGGTGGGCATGAATCCATACCTCATTACAACAGCAAGGGATGTAACAAAGTAGTTTTATACCTTTTCGAAGTTTGCATAGACACAGATGTATTTGAAATGCTATTCTAGCACAGTAGAGTTGCTGTGTCATTGAATATAATACGCTAAATTGTCTCATACAAAATAAATCCTCTTAGCATTGAGCCTCTAATACGTCTTTTATTATTATTACTATTTTTAATTTGTTGATGCCGACTGGGCACTCCATGGTGGCCCAGTGGTCCCGGTGTTCCACTCCTGGCTCAAACGTTACAAGAGAGAATCCCGGCTACTGCAGCCACATCTTTAATAGAAGTGGAATGCTAGAGGCCTGAGTATATAGGTGTAGGTTGCAGTCTTCTTAGGTGCCCGTTGAAGAACCCCAAGCAGCCGTAATATGTGGAGCCCTCTTCTATATTGTCCCCAATAATTATGTAGTGGTTTTGGGACAATAAAAATTCAAACAATTATAATTTTCGCTAGTGTGGATACTGGTTGACAAAGTGGTGCGAGAAGCAAATGACATTGTGCCTCATTTGATGCTAGTAATAAGTGTGGACGACGACCACACAAGTCGAATGTTTAGGAGGTAGATGTACCTATGGAACATAGCCTCTAGTTGGGCAGGCTTTACTTATTACTTCTTCGGACCACGCCCTGATGGACTGAAGGCAATGGAAGCAGTTTACAAAAGACAAACTTGTCTAACCTAAAGCAACAACTGCAGCGTTTCAACTGTGGAAAACGCTCAATATTTGAATTCTTTTGAAAAGCGATACGGGCATTAAAGATAAAAAGTACTCAAAATGGTCACAGAGAACTCGGCCCACTTTTTGATACGTTATAAGGAGCTTATGCTACATACTCTTATTAGCCTATATTTATGTCATAAGGTATATTTTCCGTTTATGGCAGAAAATACGTTACGGCCTCTCAATTTATGATTTCCAGAATTAAACTATCACTAAAGAAGTTGTTGAGTGTTGCTGCTGGTTCATTTATCGTCTTTTTTCGCACAAGCATTTACACTTATTTACATAAACATTTTGTGACACAGATGCTTTAATAAGTGATGTGCATGTGATGCTCCATGCGTTTCAGCTATGCGCTGTATTTACTTACTGGCACTTTTGCCTCACCGAATACAGGCCTTGTAAACAGGTGATTTAGAACATAACAATTATATTGCACTTATTCATTTACTAGTTGAAATTTTTCGCGGTGCAACAAATTCAACACGGCCACGATGAGCCGACTGCAAGCGCTCGGAACGACCGCCTTTTGAGTTCGGGTGTGTAATATCTGACACTCACGTTGAGAGCGTCCTAAAAACAAGATTTAGAAGCGTGTCGCACACGTTTTCGCAGCTAATAAAGGTCCAAAACGAGTTCATCTCATCCAATTACATTAGTGCCTCGATCGCATCGAGTCTACACGAACTCTCATTTCGTTCGTTGTCGAAATTAGACGCATAGCCTGGGTTACGTTCCCGGGGAAATTTTTAAAAAGTAACGAACATTACAGAACGCATCGCAGAAATCACGCCGCACACCAAACGTACCGCGGCTGGACAGATTAGGAAGATCGCACGAGATTTGTATCGGCCTTACTTCATTCTAAAGTTTTTGCAGCAGCCGGCGAAGAACTCCGGTCATTCAGTACGCCGCCGAGTACGGTGTCAACAGGTGAAAAACTCTGCAATCATTGCAGATAGAGAGTTGTGGCTAAGGGTATTCACTGCACACCAATGCGACGTACGCTTCGGTTGCGGTGTGTAGTGCGTGCGTGTGTGCACACAAACAATGCACCAAGCACGCTCCTACATGTTTGTGATCAAAATTGCGTCGCCAACAAGGTCAAGCCAAGCCAAGTAACATGTACAACCTCAAGTTTTTGCAGTTTAAAACTTTAATACAGTTAAAATATTACTCAAATTAAAATTTTGAACTAAGCTGTAAAGGTATTGCATATTCACTTTATCATCATTAACAATGTAAAAAATTTATTATACTGCTCACTGCAATCCAAACTAAGCCGAGCCTTTTAAAATTGTGTTTGGTTTTTGTTTCGACTTAACAGGGTCTCCTTCACTTCACCCACGCGAAATTGCGCACACCATTTTACTCCAGACTGTTTTCAACGCGTCGTTTGTGATAGACGCTTCCTCATCTACAGCGATGAGCAGCGTCGGTGAAACGGCGAAATTGTGATAGTGTTGTGCAAGCGCTCCTGTGGGTGACCGTGTGTCGGTGCTTGCCTGCGTTTGACACATCGGTTGCCCCCGGCGTTGTACCGGCATCACCGCACCCACTTGTCCTCGGCTTGAGAGCAACGCCCCGGCGCGATGGGCCTTCACACCATTCTCAAGAAGCTGAGACGCAAGGAGAAGGAATCCGAGTCCTCATCCTGTATCCTTACATCTCGCACGACCTAAGTCGTTTACAACCTAAGAATAAACGCAAGCTCCACCTACAACTGTAACTCTGCCGCCGCAAGAAAACTTGCATAGGTGTATCTCCACATCACATTTACTTATTTGTGTGACGTCAGGGACAATTCACGCGTTTCAGATCGGTGCTTTCCTTATACGAACACAGTGTTGGTGCCACTGGTCTTTGGTTAAAAAAAAAAAGAAAACACGTCAACTTCATGCGCAGTTGCCTCAAAGATTTCAACGTTACTCTCTGACAAACGTAATGTTTCTAGTAGAAACGACGCACTTTTAGTCATTATTGTGCGTAATATTTGTACAGCTTGAGTACATGCCATAAAAAAAAAAATCACGGTTGGTTAAAAAGTAAGAATCTTGAGCTCTCCAATATGGGGTACTTCATGATCCCATATTGCTTTTGGTATGGTCCCTAGAATTATTGTATTCTAGAGACCATACTTTTGGGCTGCAAAACCATAAAAACAGTTATAGTTTTGAGACGCTCAAAACACACGTTTCAATCTTGCTTGATTTCGTTCTTCAAAAAATGTTCCCAGTCTTCTCAAAATAACACGAAATCACATAACATGTTTCTGTTCGCATGATCATGAAACCTCCACTTTGACAGAGTAGTGTTCCTTGACCGAGCTTGCGTAGTTCTCTCTTAGTTTTATTATTTACCTGGGAACCATACAGGGGCAACACTATTGAATTCCTTAATATTTGTGCTTCGTATTTGTGCTAGAGAGATAAAATTTTTCACCTTAGCTCGACCGTCCCAGAGGGCTGGACAATGCGGGAAAGACGACACTGCTCAAGAGACTCAATGGGGAGGACACTTCCGAAGTGTCGCCCACGCTGGGGTTTAACATCAAAACCCTCGAGCACCGAGGGTAAGCAGTTTTATTTTACTTGCTATGATCTAAGTGCTTTATAAAGGGAACATAGATATTGGCGGCAGATCAGCTTTGTGGAAGCCTGCAAGATCATAAATGTTCGTGAAATCGTATATATATCACGTATTAAACATGTCTTGATACAGGACATCGGAAACGAAAAACTTGGCGGACACCTCAATTTCGCTTTCAGAATTATAATGCGACAGCCTAATTGGACCGTGTTCGTAGGGCCTCCCCAGCTGATAGCCTGGCCTGACTTTGTGGTAGACTCCTAAACCATGCCGCAAAGAAAGCTTAAGTGAAGACGTCCTCCAGCTCCTACGTCTATGCATATGTAGTGCGATGCAACATGATAGGGTGCGTACGCCAGCTCCTGGGCCATAGTAAAGCCTCTGCATTTTTGAAGCACCTCCGAGATGTGCATACCATCAACAGTAAACGGTGTATATAAATACGTTCCGTTAGTATAAATGATGATACATGCATGTTGGCCGAGGTACTAGACGCATCGCGCCACGAAGCAAAGTGTTGCAGGTTCGAATCCCCGATCTCGATTAAGGCGAGAATTTCTTTAATTATTTATTTGTTTGAGTTTACCTTGAAGTTTCGCTCATGAACTACCCTGACTTTTTTTGCTCACAACCAAAAAGTTGCTACTGCCTCTAGAATTCCTGTGAAACAAGCTTTTTAAGGCTATTGAGTCAAGGCATGAAACATGCCTTGATATGTATGTTTCTAGTGTGAAGCTAGAAAATAAGCCCATTTGAGTTTTTCACAAGAAAGCTTATTTGACTATTGCGAGTATAAAAAATTACATCAGTATTGCAAAATCAAGGTTTGAGCCGACAGATGGAAACACCTACTTCCATTGTCCATCCCACTTATCCCACTACATCAATAGTAGAAACATCTACAGGCTGTACACACGAAGGGTTGTAATATTAAATTCTGCACAACCAAACTGTCCATATTTGTCAGCTGCATTCCTGGTGCATTTTTCGCAGTTATAAAAGCAAAGTTGCAGCATGTCATCTGGCAGTTCTTTAGACAAACACTAATAATTTGTCATCTCCAATCCGGCAATTATCCGTGTTCAGGCACCGTTGACTACGCATCACGTTAGCATCCTTTACTGGTGAGGCAAGGATATGGCACATCAAGTGACGGTCATGTGGGGTTGTGCTGCAGGTTTCGTCTAAACATGTGGGACGTGGGTGGCCAGAAGTCCCTGCGGGGTTACTGGCGCAACTACTTTGAGAGCACCGACGCCATCATCTGGGTGGTGGACAGTGCTGACCGACGCCGCATGGGGGACTGCCACCGGGAGCTGAGGTCACTCATCTGTGAGGAGGTGAGCCTCACCCGGGGTTGAAGTCAGGGGTGTGCCCGGCCTCCCTTTCATAGTTTGAGGTAAACTGTCCTTCACGAACGAAAGTGTCTCGAGTGTTTTCAGCGCACCCAAGTGTCACTTATTTACATTTTGTCCTATTTTAAGCCATTAATAGTTGAGGACATCTTTAACTAAAAGCACACTCATGGCAGCTTTCCAATCAAGTGCAATATATGAAGTTGGAACCATATGGCAGAGGGATTTGCAATTTTTCTATTACCTAAGAAAGAAGTAAACATAGCATTAGTGTTTTGTAGAGCACAAAAAATGATTCGGTGATCTCGGGATAAAACCTGCATCAAAGATAAAATCGGGGTGTGACAGAGCCACAAAAAGTATTTTTTTTTTTTTTTTTTTTTCAAATCATGCAGAAGCTGCTCGGAAGCAGTCTGTTGGTCCTGGCCAACAAGCAAGACATGCCGGGGGCGCTGCCTCCTGACCAAATTGCAGAGGTATGCCATCTTTATTTGGATGCATTGCTCTCGGAAAAGATTTGGGTAAATACCTCTTGCATATAGAGAAGAAATTCGGAGGGAAATTAGAACTATGTGTATGTTGTGCCTGTGTCATCAAGGGCCTTTAAGGAGACCACTCAGTCAGTGGCCATCGAAACACCACAGCTTTATTAACTTGATGAAGTTGTTGCTCTGCTACGTAGCAGTTTTCAACAGCCGTTGAATAGTGCCGGCGTTACTGGCAAAAATTGTGTGGCGTTGCGGATCTTTATTTTTGTGTTTATGTCACCTGAACCTAAATAATTTAACTTCACTTAAAAACTCAGGTATGTCTATTAATGTTTCAATAAGTTGTTCAGTCTTAATTATGATTATGTATTTAGCTTTTACGTTGTTGAGCAGCGAAACTGTGGCAAGTGACGCACAGCAAGATGGCGCGATGAAAACAAGCACGTTGCCGTTGTTGAGGGTTTGTGCAGTTCACACATTTCAGGTGATAAAAATATCGTATTAAATAATTCACAGCACTCACGGTATGCTTTTAAAGCATACTGGATAGATTCCTTTTTTCTAATGTGAATGAGCGGGCATGTCAGCACTGTTTCCACTTCCATCACTCCATTCCCATTGAACTTTCGACGGAGTTATGGAGTTCACTGTTGATTCGATAGACTATTGACTCAACGGCCTTAGAAACGTCCTGTGTAGCTGCTCGCACTTGACCATCTAATCAATAGACTATCAGTTCAATGGCCTTCCAAATGCCCGTGTTACACGGGCATATGCCTTTTTGGTCATTGCCACTTAGTTTGTGTTTCCTCAAAAATTTCAGCTGCTCAATCTGTCGGCCATCAACAACCTCCACTGGAAGATGGTCGGCTGCAGCGCATTCTCAGGCATGGAGGGACTGCTGGACGGCATGGACTGGATGCTCGATGACCTCTCCAGGCGCCTCTATTTCATGGACTGAGGCTTTAGACACAAACTCATCAGGTTCTTAGTTGGTTCCCCATCAGCCAGCAGACCACAGAAAAAACCTGTTGTATATATTACATCTCCCATGCTTGGCGAGTGGTTTTCCTATCAAGTTGCTTTGTGAAGTCTGCTTGACAGCTGATAGTCGATGTTGTCTTCCGACAGATTAGGAACCCTGACAGTTACGTCATGTGTGAGAAAAACCTAAGAGGCTGCAAGGACACCATTGCTTACTTGCAGAACTTTCATATAGGTCACCAAGCGGTGTAACTGAGGTGCTGCTTTTTTAAAGGCAACTTTGTGTACCTACTGCAAAGGAACAACAAAGTCTTGCATCTACGGGAGTGCACGGTGCGAAAGGTACATGCAGAGTAGAAGTGTTGTGCTGTGTGTTGTGGTCTGTACACTATTTGGCTTGAAGTTCATTAAACATTGAAAGCAATAAAGTGTGATATGTCCCTTTGTACCATGCAGACCTTTGTAATCAAGTCGCCTAGAGTTTCTGCAGTTCATTCCATGTGCATTTTCTTAAAGGGGCCCTCCTATGCTTTTGATGCACCCATTTTTTATTTGTGGTTTCCATAGACTGATGGCTGGGGAGAATTCCAGCATAGGTCTTGGAACTAACATGAGAAGAGTGTTCTAATTGTGCGATAAAGTCATTACATCGCTGCCAATCGTATTGGTGTCCGCTAGGTCTACTGGGGGCAGAAATGATGGAGAAGAGTCCAAGCCAATGATGGGATTATTTTAACATAAGTGACTGCAGCGTGGTATCAAAATGAAGATTATCGTAAGGTCTTGTTTTTCTTTTCTGTGTTTTATCATTGAATCACAAATAGATGCCATGTAACAAAGGATCACTACAACTGCTATGTAGCATGACAGAGGCGGTGGGTGCTTTGTCCCCTCTCACGTTCTTGCTTGTATGGGTTACTTGTCCATACTTTTTCCTGCTTCTTGAACGTTTGTGAGCTGCCTCTTTCCACCAGTGTGCTCGACCAATTTTCAACACAAAAGTGTTGAAACACTGATTTAAATAGACGATATTTAATCTAATATATAAGAATTCCTTTTTAACTACCCGGTTATTAGCCAATCTCCCAGTGTGGGTGTGTGCCACTATTTAAGATTCTACTCTACTAGCGGTCAGGTTTTGCCCGCAAACTTTTCTGATGCTATTCTCTGCATCTACAACCGTGCACTGACATAGGTAGGTGTGCATGCGCATGAGGGGGCATGGGGGGGGGGGGGGGGCACGGCCGCCTCTTTTGCAGTCACCTAAGAAGGGGGGTGCTGCAAAGTACCTACCATGGCGAAAAAAATTCAATGCGCGCACAGGACTGAGGAGCCCCTCTCCACCTCCCTGGCTGCGCCACCAATTAATCAAAAAATCTCTTTAAACGCAAGAAGCTATCAATGCGAGAAGTGATAACTTTTTGTCGCATAGAAGTACATTGCAACGCTCAACTCGGCGATTCCACAATGTGTCGCGAAAAGTCTTCCACCTTTGAGTAACGGCACAGGCTGGTCGACCAATAACGACTTTCGTGCGGTTGCAGCAGTGCCTTAACACAGAAAAGAGCTAAGGTAAAGAGGCCGCTGGCAATGAATGTGCCATTTTGACCCATCGCTAACACTGTCGAATAATCAGTCATCTGCAGATATCACTTGCAGGTAATCATGCGCATCGTGCTGCCATTTGCCGCCACTGCATCGTGCGACGCCTTTGGCGCGTTGCTTGCAAAATGCATGTCTTTGTAATGCTGAACAAAACGGCTACTTGCCGCACCCGTGCGCGATCCGGGGTGAAGCGTACAGACATAACAGAAGAATGGGTGCATACGTTAGAGCAGTGGCTTTGATAAAAAAAATCCCAAGGGAATACACAGTTTGGGCCATGGTGGCCATTTTTGTTTTCTTAAAATATGGGTTGTATCATTATTTAACTGATAATTAAATCGCACTTGAAATGAAGTTTTAAAAACGAGCATGGGATCCAAGCTTGAGTAAATGCATTGTTCTATTCAGTGTTTTTTGCACTGGTCGAGTAGCTCTTGCAATTTCTATAGTCTCGTTCTGCTGAATGGTACTGAACACAGGTACACATTTAAAAATAATCAGCTTTTAAAACAAAAACACTTGAATGCACTATACTTGTCAGGTAATTCGAATCCATGATGTACTGAAGCTAAATCTCAAGGGGGGAGACTTGCGAGGGGAGTCTCCCACAGCCTCATTTCAAGGGTGGTCCATAATCTCCCCCCCTAACCCCTTCCCCCCATTATTAATGTCAATGCATTAGACTGCGAGTGGACAGAAAAAACGGAGCATGTGATGCATGCTGCACGCAACTAGCCAAGCACGATAGGTTCTACGTGGCGGTACCACGATTCAGTGAAACAGCACAGGGTCATTGGAAAGGCAGTTTCATTCACTCGTCAACACGCAGCGAGCGTCGCTCAACATGCAAAAAGCCAAAGTCGACAGGAGAGAGTTGTTGGCACGTTTTGATAAAAACGCACAGAAAAAAAAAAGTATTTTGTTGCTAAAGGCACGTCCTTAAGGGCGAGTCCATATCGAACGAACTACAGTGGACTCTCAGTAAACGAAAATCTGTTAAACGAAAGTGCTGCTTAAATGGAACAACTGCCTCTGATACGATTTGTTATGCTGCAACACAGGTCCTTTCTGGGTAAACCGAACTCCTGTTAAATGGAACAATTTTTCTTGTCCCTTCAGGTTTCATTCAATGAGATTCTACTGTGCTGGTATAACGACTACATTTTTCAACACTTTTGAGTTATAGTAAACAGGTTCTATATTGCCAACGTCCATTTTCCCATTCCTGGAGTGACAAACTGAGAATCGTGTGTGGCACATACCAGCATACCAGGACATATCAGGGGTATGTGCCAAATGTGTTTGGAGGAAAATTTTTCAGGACTTGCAAGGCAGAGTTTTCACATTATTCGTGTCATCGTTAGATGGTCATGCTGGTCGTACCTTTCCATGCAGAGTTAATGAGGCGACGACCAGAGCGCCCAGACGTAAGCGGCTAGCTGGATAAATACGCAGATACGAACGCTTCGATTCGCAAAGTGCTTCGCATTTAAAAAGCTTCCATGTGCAGTTTCCACATTGTAAGCAAACATGGGAGTTTAGTTTTCACATGGTGCAAGTACTATGCGATGGCACCAGCTCTAATACACTACGCTTTAGCAGTTGACCGAAAGTACAGGAGATTGGCACATTTTCGTAATCAAAACTTCCTGCAGTTTAAAGTATCAATGGAAGGCACATTTGAATTAATGTCGAGGAGAGCCATTCCAGTAAGTCAGGCATAGCCATTGTTGCCCATACATTTCAGAGACAAATGGAGGTACAGACATGTTTTCATACATGGCAATTGCGATGAGACTATTGTGAACTATAAATGGTACAGATTAACAGCATAACACATGCCAGATTGAATTACACTCAAATCTCATGATAAAAAAGTTGCATCTTGCAACAAAACAAGTTCATTAAATCCAAAAGCTCGTTATAAAGGTATATTGCTAGTACTATTGAGAGACTATTCATTTACTTCATCATAACCAATACTTCGTTATATCCCGGTTAGTTATATCAAAGTTCGAGTGTAGCCTGAAAACTTGCATGTTCAGGCTCCAAGACACACTCTGCACTAACTCTACTTTTGCACGTGCGCTGCACATTCCGTGATACTTTCAAGTCGCTCAACACCTCAGGGTCAGACTTCTCGTGCAAAAACATCACGTTTTACATTACTTCCACGATGTTCATGTTAAAGGCAAGGTTCTTTACGAGTGCCAGCAATTGGCCCGTGTAACCAAAGTGCTAGTAACGGGCCTCCTTGCAGTTCTATTTCACCGGCATCACTACTGCCACAGTCAACAGCTGTGTGTCCCTCTAGAATGGCACGATAAGTGTCATTTTCGCTCAAGTCATGTGACTTACCAGCCGTTGATACAAATAGACTCACGCCTGAAACGCATTCAGTTTCATGCTCCTATGTTACACTGAGTATTAAAATTTTAATGGCACGAAGGATCGATGTTCGAGTGATTCATTTGCATTCCCTCATATCGATTGGGAACTTCAGGTAGATGTGGAGACACGAAATTGAAAACGCCGACTCCTGCAACTAGTAATTAGAAGGCTCTGTGCGACTTTATCAAACAGGCATAAATGCACCACAAACTCTCAAGCACAGCCAAGAAAAAGCAGTTTGTAAACCTGAATAGAATGCTCTTTTATTTTCTGACATATCCAAAAAAACACCCTCCATGTCTCTGCAGTGTGTGGCAAAAAAAAAAGAAAAGAAAAATAAATACGGTACAGGAAAATACTCTTGGGCCGGTTGTTGGCAGTGGTGGCTGGCCCACCTTGTTTCTTCACACTTTGACCGGCTCGTTCTTGAGCAGTGTTATGCTGCTCTTCAGCAGCTGGACCTGTGCCTGCACACAACAGGAGTGCACAAACAGATGCTCAGTTTTATACTGTAAATAACTAATGTAAATGTGACATCGTTACCTACAGCCCACTTCACCAATGTCGGTGCTTATATGGTTAAGATTTCGATAGAATGCAGTTGACAGTATCAGGAATTTACGCAATCGCATCCCTCCTTCGTTAGAAAACTAGGGCAGCATACTTTCTCGTGTATAACCCATGAAAGCATGTAACCAGCACTTTAAACAAATAACCCACAAAAAGAAAAAGATCCCTACACGTTGCCATGATGCTGCCTTGCTTGCATTATTGTGGAGTAGTGCCTTAAAGCTTAACACTGAAATTCAAATACTAAACCAGCATCCCGACATTACTTCTAAATTCTCTATACAGTAGACTCTTCGAAAATGAAAATTCTTCAACGAAACTGCTACGAAACAAGTGCTTCTGACAGGATTGGTTTCGTACTTGTATTGTGCGCCCTTTTTCACCTCTTGTAAATGAAAATTATGTTAAACATGCTTTCCTGGTCCCTTCAGGTTCAGTTTAACGTGAGTATACTGTATCTTGTGTGGGGCACACTACAGCGGGGGAGGGGGGAGGCCTCCAGGCTAACTTTTAGGGTTCTTGAATGTATGTCTAAATCAAAGAATGCAAGTGCTCTTTCCATTCTGACCCCACTGGAGCACATCGGCCATGGCCAGGAATTTAAAGACAGTACGAGATAAACAGAGGCGGTGTGGTGTGGCGGAAAGTACTGCAAAAACTGGAATATAGGTATGAACAGAATACGCCAAGCTTCGCATGATCCCACTTCCCCGATCTGGGAAGGACTCCTCAGTATTCCAGAGTAGGAGCACATGAGCGATTCTTATTATATCGACACTCTCGGCTGGATTTTGCTGCCGGCGTCGCTGTCGACGTGGGCGTCACCATCAATCATCGTATATGTATACGTATCTATATATATATAAAAATGCAAGAAAGAAAAATAATC